CCCTGGTCTCACCTCGTCCCCCCACCTCGTCCCCACCTCGCCCCCACGTCGTCCCCTCACCTCGTCCCCGCCGATGGCCTCGTCTCCCCCACCTCGTCGCCCCCCGCCCCCCCGTGCCTCCCGGCTGTGCTCCATCTCCTGCAGGCTCTCCCGGGCCTCCTGCAGCTCCTCGGCCCTCGCCGCTCGCTTGCGCGAGATGATGGCCGCCTGGGCCGCACAGACAAAGGTCCCCCGGGTAGCCTCGCGCGGGATGTCTGGGCGGGTGCTCAGCAGCAGCGGCGGCGAGCAGCGAGCAGCAGCAGCAGCGAGCAGTAGGGAGCAGTAGGGAGCAGTAGCAGCAGTAGGGAGCAGCAGTAGGGAGCAGTAGCAGCAGTAGGGAGCAGCAGTAGGGAGCAGTAGCAGCAGCAGTAGGGAGCAGTAGCAGCAGTAGGGAGCAGCAGTAGGGAGCAGGAGCAGCGGTAGCAGCAGAGAGCAGCAGCAGCAGTAGGGAGCAGTAGGGAGCAGTAGCAGCAGCAGTAGGGAGCAGTAGCAGCAGCAGTAGGGAGCAGTAGGGAGCAGTAGCAGCAGCAGTAGGGAGCAGTAGGGAGCAGTAGCAGCAGCAGTAGGGAGCAGTAGCAGCAGCAGCAGTAGCAGTAGGGAGCAGTAGCAGCAGCAGCAGTAGGGAGCAGTAGGGAGCAGTAGCAGCAGCAGTAGGGAGCAGTAGCAGCAGCAGCAGTAGGGAGCAGTAGGGAGCAGTAGCAGCAGCAGTAGGGAGCAGTAGCAGCAGCAGTAGGGAGCAGTAGCAGCAGCAGTAGGGAGCAGTAGGGAGCAGTAGCAGCAGCAGCAGTAGCAGCAGCAGTAGGGAGCAGTAGGGAGCAGTAGCAGCAGCAGTAGGGAGCAGTAGCAGCAGCAGTAGGGAGCAGTAGCAGCAGCAGTAGGGAGCAGTAGCAGCAGCAGTAGGGAGCAGTAGCAGCAGCAGCAGTAGGGAGCAGTAGGGAGCAGTAGCAGCAGCAGTAGGGAGCAGTAGCAGCAGCAGTAGGGAGCAGTAGCAGCAGCAGTAGGGAGCAGTAGTAGCAGCAGCAGTAGGGAGCAGTAGGGAGCAGTAGCAGCAGCAGTAGGGAGCAGTAGCAGCAGCAGTAGGGAGCAGTAGCAGCAGCAGCAGTAGGGAGCAGTAGCAGCAGTAGCAGCAGCAGTAGTAGGGAGCAGTAGCAGCAGCAGTAGGGAGCAGTAGCAGCAGCAGCAGTGAGCAGCAGCAACAGCAGCAGCAGCACCTACCAAGTGAGAGTGAGCAGCACCTACCAAGTGAGTGTGAGAGTGAGCAGCACCTACCAAGTGAGTGTGAGAGTGAGCAGCACCTACCAAGTGAGTGTGAGAGTGAGCAGCACCTACCAAGTGAGAGTGAGCAGCACCTACCAAGTGAGAGTGAGCAGCACCTACCAAGTGAGTGTGAGAGTGAGCAGCACCTACCAAGTGAGTGTGAGAGTGAGCAGCACCTACCTAGTGAGAGTGAGCAGCACCTACCTAGTGAGAGTGAGCAGCACCTACCAAGTGAGTGTGAGAGTGAGCAGCACCTACCAAGTGAGAGTGAGAGTGAGCAGCACCTACCAAGTGAGTGTGAGAGTGAGCAGCACCTACCAAGTGAGAGTGAGAGTGAGCAGCACCTACCAAGTGAGTGTGAGAGTGAGCAGCACCTACCAAGTGAGAGTGAGCAGCACCTACCAAGTGAGAGTGAGAGTGAGCAGCACCTACCAAGTGAGTGTGAGAGTGAGCAGCACCTACCAAGTGAGTGTGAGAGTGAGCAGCACCTACCAAGTGAGAGTGAGAGTGAGCAGCACCTACCAAGTGAGAGTGAGAGTGAGCAGCACCTACCAAGTGAGTGTGAGAGTGAGCAGCACCTACCAAGTGAGAGTGAGAGTGAGCAGCACCTACCAAGTGAGTGTGAGAGTGAGCAGCACCTACCTAGTGAGAGTGAGCAGCACCTACCAAGTGAGAGTGAGAGTGAGCAGCACCTACCAAGTGAGTGTGAGAGTGAGCAGCACCTACCAAGTGAGAGTGAGCAGCACCTACCAAGTTAGTGTGAGAGTGAGCAGCACCTACCAAGTGAGAATGAGAGTGAGCAGCACCTACCAAGTGAGTGTGAGAGTGAGCAGCACCTACCAAGTGAGAGTGAGCAGCACCTACCAAGTGAGAGTGAGCAGCACCTACCAAGTGAGAGTGAGAGTGAGCAGCACCTACCAAGTGAGTGTGAGAGTGAGCAGCACCTACCAAGTGAGTGTGAGAGTGAGCAGCACCTACCAAGTGAGTGTGAGAGTGAGCAGCACCTACCAAGTGAGAGTGAGAGTGAGCAGCACCTACCAAGTGAGTGTGAGAGTGAGCAGCACCTACCAAGTGAGAGTGAGCAGCACCTACCAAGTGAGAGTGAGAGTGAGCAGCACCTACCAAGTGAGTGTGAGAGTGAGCAGCACCTACCAAGTGAGTGTGAGAGTGAGCAGCACCTACCAAGTGAGTGTGAGAGTGAGCAGCACCTACCAAGTGAGAGTGAGAGTGAGCAGCACCTACCAAGTGAGTGTGAGAGTGAGCAGCACCTACCAAGTGAGTGTGAGAGTGAGCAGCACCTACCAAGTGAGTGTGAGAGTGAGCAGCACCTACCAAGTGAGAGTGAGAGTGAGCAGCACCTACCAAGTGAGAGTGAGCAGCACCTACCAAGTGAGAGTGAGCAGCACCTACCAAGTGAGAGTGAGAGTGAGCAGCACCTACCAAGTGAGTGTGAGAGTGAGCAGCACCTACCAAGTGAGAGTGAGAGTGAGCAGCACCTACCAAGTGAGAGTGAGCAGCACCTACCAAGTGAGTGTGAGAGTGAGCAGCACCTACCAAGTGAGAGTGAGAGTGAGCAGCACCTACCAAGTGAGAGTGAGCAGCACCTACCAAGTGAGAGTGAGCAGCACCTACCAAGTGAGAGTGAGAGTGAGCAGCAACTACCAAGTGAGTGTGAGAGTGAGCAGCACCTACCAAGTGAGTGTGAGAGTGAGCAGCACCTACCAAGTGAGAGTGAGCAGCACCTACCAAGTGAGAGTGAGAGCGAGCAGCACCTACCAAGTGAGAGTGAGAGTGAGCAGCACCTACCAAGTGAGTGTGAGAGTGAGCAGCACCTACCTAGTGAGAGTGAGCAGCACCTACCTAGTGAGAGTGAGCAGCACCTACCTAGTGAGAGTGAGCAGCACCTACCTAGTGAGAGTGAGCAGCACCTACCTAGTGAGAGTGAGCAGCACCTACCTAGTGAGTGTGAGAGTGAGCAGCACCTACCTAGTGAGTGTGAGAGTGAGCAGCACCTACCAAGTGAGAGTGAGAGTGAGCAGCACCTACCAAGTGAGTGTGAGAGTGAGCAGCACCTACCTAGCGAGCGTGAGAGTGAGCAGCACCTACCAAGTGAGTGTGAGAGTGAGCAGCACCTACCAAGTGAGAGTGAGAGTGAGCAGCACCTACCAAGTGAGTGTGAGAGTGAGCAGCACCTACCAAGTGAGAGTGAGAGTGAGCAGCACCTACCAAGTGAGAGTGAGAGTGAGCAGCACCTACCAAGTGAGAGTGAGCAGCACCTACCAAGTGAGTGTGAGAGTGAGCAGCACCTACCAAGTGAGAGTGAGCAGCACCTACCAAGTGAGAGTGAGAGTGAGCAGCACCTACCAAGTGTGAGAGTGAGCAGCACCTACCAAGTGAGTGTGAGAGTGAGCAGCACCTACCAAGTGAGAGTGAGCAGCACCTACCAAGTGAGAGTGAGAGTGAGCAGCACCTACCTAGTGAGTGTGAGCAGCACCTACCAAGTGAGTGTGAGAGTGAGCAGCACCTACCAAGTGAGAGTGAGAGTGAGCAGCACCTACCAAGTGAGTGTGAGAGTGAGCAGCACCTACCAAGTGAGTATGAGAGTGAGCAGCACCTACCAAGTGAGAGTGAGAGTGAGCAGCACCTACCAAGTGAGAGTGAGCAGCACCTACCAAGTGAGTGTGAGAGTGAGCAGCACCTACCAAGTGAGAGTGAGCAGCACCTACCAAGTGAGAGTGAGAGTGAGCAGCACCTACCTAGTGAGTGTGAGAGTGAGCAGCACCTACCAAGTGAGTGTGAGAGTGAGCAGCACCTACCAAGTGAGTGTGAGAGTGAGCAGCATCTACCAAGCGAGAGCGAGCACCTACCTACCAAGTGAGTGTGAGAGCGAGCAGCACCTACATACCTACCAAGCGAGAGCGAGCAGCACCTACCTACCTAGTGAGCAGCACCTACCTACCTACCTAGCGAGCGTGGTAGCGAGCAGCGAGCAGCACCTACCTACCTAGTGAGCAGCACCTACCTATCAAGTGAGTGTGAGAGTGAGCAGCACCTACCTATCAAGTGAGTGTGAGAGTGAGCAGCACCTACCAAGTGAGTGTGAGAGTGAGCACCTACCTACCTACCTACCAAGTGAGAGCGAGCACCTACCTACCTACCTAGCGAGCGTGGTAGCGAGCAGCGAGCAGGGTCACCTGCTGTCTGAAGAGGACGAGCTTATCGTCGCCCGGGTCCCCGCGGCGCATGCGGCCCTCCAGCAGGCGGCTCACCTCCTCGCCAACCTCGTCGATCTGACATCGCCATCATCGTCGCCATCGTCAACGTCGTCGTCATCAACTTCGTCATCAACGTCGTCATCATCGTCGTTACCACCATCGTCAACATCACCACCATGGTCAACATCGCCACCCACGCCATCGCGCGAGACTCCAGCAGGCGGCTCACCTCCTCGCCAACCTCGTCGATCTGACATCACAATCAACTTCGTCATCAACTTCGTCGTCATCGTCGTCGTCATCATCGTCCCCACCATCGTCACCATCGTCACCAACGTCGACATCACCATCATCACCTCCACCCACGCCATCGCGCGAGACTCCAGCAGGCGGCTCACCTCCTCGCCAACCTCGTCGATCTGACATCACCATCATCGTCACCACCGTCGTCGTCGTCATCATTCGTCATCGCCACTGTCGTAGCCATCATCAGTCTCACATCGTCACCACCGTCAACAACACCACCGTCACGTCGTCAGTGCAAGGGGGGTCCGAGGGTGTGTGGTTGCGGGGGGGGTCAAAGGGTCGGGTAGTGGGGCGGGTGGCTGCGTGGGCTTGGTGTCTGTTGGTGCAGGGCGGCCCCCCTGCCCGTGCCACCGCCCCCCCCACGGCACCGCCCCCCCCGGGCACCGACCCCCTGTCACCTGTCCGCGCAGGGCGTCGAGGTCTCCCTGCGCGAGTCCCTGCTTGCGGCCGGCGCGTTGCAGGTCCTGCACCTGGGCGCGCGCCCTCGCCAGCTCGCCGGGAAGCTTCTCGCCGCCGATGTAGCCGGTGAAGTTTAGCTCCTCCCGCACGCGACGCAGCACGCCTGCAACGGAGGGGAGAGCCGCGTCGCTCGCGCGTCGCGCGCTCGAAGCCAGGCGCCGCGCGCGGTTCCTTCGGTAACTTGGGTCCGCGCGTAATGGCGGTCGAGAGAACCCGCGGTGCGCGGCGTGGACCGGTGGCCACGGGAGGTGGTGACAGGTGGGGAGTCAGCCTGCGGTGCGCGGCGTGGACCGGTGGCCACGGGAGGGACTGGTGGCCATGGGAGGGACTGGTGGCCACGGGAGGTGGTGACAGGTGGAGAGTCAGCCTGCGGTGCGAGTGGACCGGTGGCCACGGGAGGTAGTGACAGGTGGAGTCAGCCTGCGGTGCGCATGGACTTGTGGCCACGGGAGGTGGTGACAGGTGGAGTCAGCCTGCGGTGCGAATCGACTGGTGGCCATGGGAGGGACTGGTGGCCATGGGAGGTAATGACAGGTGGAGTCAGCCTGCGGTGCGAGTGGACCGGTGGCCACGGGAGGGACTGGTGGCCACGGGAGGTGGTGACAGGTGGAGAGTCAGCCTGCGGTGCGAGTGGACCGGTGGCCACGGGAGGGACCGGTGGCCACGGGAGGTGGTGACAGGTGGAGTCAGCCTGCGGTGCGAGTGGACCGGTGGCCATGGGAGGGACCGGTGGCCACGGGAGGTGGTGACAGGTGGAGTCAGCCTGCAGTGCGAGTGGACCGGTGGCCACGGGAGGTAATGACAGGGGAGTCAACCTGCAGTGTGAAGGGAATGGTAGCCACTGGAGGTAATGACAGGTGGAGTCAACCTGCAGTGCGAATGGACTGGTGGCCACGGGAGGTAATGACAGGGGTGTCAGCCTGCAGTGCGAGTGGACCGGTGGCCACGGGAGGTGATGACAGGGGAGTCAGCCTGCAGTGCGCGTGGACCGGTGGCCACGGGAGGTAGTGACAGGTGGAGTCAGCCTGCGGTGCGCGTGGACCGGTGGCCACGGGAGGTGGTGACAGGTGGAGTCAGCCTGCAGTGCGAGTGGACCGGTGGCCACGGGAGGTAATGACAGGTGGAGTCAGCCTGTAGTGCGAATGGACTGGTGGCCACGGGAGGTAACGACAGGGGAGTGAGCCTGCAGTGCGAATGGACTGGTGGCCACGGGAGGTAATGACAGGGGAGTCAGCCTGCAGTGCGAATGGACTGGTGGCCACGGGAGGTAATGACAGGTGGAGTCAGCCTGTAGTGCGAATGGACTGGTGGCCACGGGAGGTAATGACAGGTGGAGTCAGCCTGCAGTGCGAATGGACTGGTGGCCACGGGAGGTAATGACAGGTGGAGTCAGCCTGCAATGTGAGTGGACTGGTGGCCACGGGAGGTAATGACAGGTGGAGTCAGCCTGCAGTGTGAGTGGACCGGTGGCCACGGGAGGTAATGACAGGGGGAGTTAGCCTGCAGTGCGCGTGGACCGGTGGCCACGGGAGGTAATGACAGGTGGAGTCAGCCTGCAGTGTGAGTGGACCGGTGGCCACGGGAGGTAATGACAGGGGGAGTTAGCCTGCAGTGCGCGTGGACCGGTGGCCACGGGAGGTAGTGACAGGTGGAGTCAGCCTGCAGTGCGAGTGGAACGGTGGCCACGGGAGGTAATGACAGGGGAGTCAGCCTGTAGTGCGAATGGACTGGTGGCCACGGGAGGTAATGACAGGTGGAGTCAGCCTGCAGTGCGAGTGGACTGGTGGCCACGGGAATTATCGAGAATCGGTGCGTGGCTTGATGGCTCCCTTCTCCCAGTCGAGTTAGGGCTAATTAGCCCGGAGGGACCACCTTCCCAGTTGCCAACATAATTATTACATTATTATTCAAGAGAATGCGTGTAACATGATTATCAGGGCATGTTTTTTTTTTGCATGTTCACCACAAGTACCGTGTGTGTGTGTGTGGTTAATTCGGCATTTGATTCTTTGCCAAAGGTGTCTATTATTTGGTGTTTGAACATCTGAACACGCCAAATGTTTTATTGCCAGTGTGGGTCAATACCTATTATCATTTTTTCATGCTTTGATACTGACTCAAAGGTCCAGTTTTTGTAGCTGCTCACCCTGAGCTATGAATGCCCTGATAGTGGTGAGTGGTGAGTGATGGTGGTGTGGTGAGTGGTGGTGGTATGGTGAGTGGTGAGTGATGGTGGTGAGTGGTGAGTGATGGTGGTGTGGTGAGTGGTGGTGGTATGGTGAGTGGTGAGTGATGGTGGTGAGTGGTGAGTGATGGTGGTGTGGTGAGTGGTGTGGTGAGTGGTGGTGAGTGATGGTGGTGAGTGGTGGTGGTGATGGTGAGTGGTGAGTGATGGCGGTGTGTTGAGTGGTGAGTGATGAGTGGTGAGTGATGGTGGTGATGGTGGTGTGGTGAGTGATGAGTGGTGAGTGATAGTGGTGAGTGATAGTGATGAGTGGTGAGTGATGGTGGTGATGGTGAGTGGTGAGTGATGAGTGGTGAGTGATGGTGGTGATGGTGAGTGGTGAGTGATGAGTGATGGTGGTGAGTGGTGAGTGATGGTGGTGGTGGTGGTGGTGAGTGGTGAGTGATGGTGGTGAGTAGTGAGTGATGGTGGTGAGTGGCAGTGGTGAGTGATAGTGGTGAGTGATAGTGGTGAGTGGTGAGTGATGGTGGTGATGGTGAGTGGTGAGTGATGAATGGTGAGTGATGGTGGTGATGGTGAGTGGTGAGTGATGGTGGTGAGTGATGAGTGATGGTGGTGGTGGTGGTGAGTGGTGAGTAGTGAGTGATGGTGGTGAGTGATGGTGGTGAGTGGCGGTGGTGAGTGGTGAGTGATGGTGAGTGATGGTGGTGGGTGGCGGTGGTGAGTGGCGAGTGATGGTGGTGGGTGGCGGTGGTGAGTGATGGTGGTGGGTGGCGGTGGTGAGTGGTGAGTGATGGTGGTGAGTGGCGGTGGTGAGTGGCGAGTGATGGTGGTGGGTGGCGGTGGTGAGTGGTGAGTGGCGGTGGTGAGTGATGGTGAGTGATGATGGTGAGTGGCGGTGGTGAGTGGCGAGTGATGGTGGTGGGTGGCGGTGGTGAGTGGTGAGTGATGGTGGTGAGTGATGGTGGTGAGTGGCGGTGGTGAGTGGCGAGTGATGGTGGTTGGTGGCGGTGGTGAGTGGCGGTGGTGAGTGGCGAGTGATGGTGGTGAGTGGCGGTGGTGAGTGATGGTGGTGAGTGATGAGTGATGGTGGTGAGTGGCGGTGGTGAGTGGTGAGTGGCGGTGGTGAGTGATGGTGGTGAGTGGCGGTGGTGAGTGATGGTGGTGAGTGGCGGTGGTGAGTGGCGAGTGATGGTGAGTGATGGTGGTGATTGGCGGTGGTGAGTGGCGGTGGTGAGTGGCGGTGGTGAGTGGCGGTGGTGAGTGATGGTGGTGGGTGGCGGTGGTGAGCGATGGTGGTGAGTGGCGGTGGTGAGCGATGGTGGTGAGTGATGGTGAGCGATGGTGGTGAGTGGCGGTGGTGAGTGATGGTGGTGAGTGGCGGTGGTAAGTGGCGAGTGATGGTGAGTGATGGTGGTGAGTGGCGGTGGTGAGTGGCGGTGGTGAGTGGTGAGTGGCGGTGGTGAGTGATGGTGGTGGGTGGCGGTGGTGAGTGGCGGTGGTGAGCGATGGTGGTGAGTGATGGTGGTGAGTGGTGAGTGATGGTGGTGGGTGGCGGTGGTGAGCGATGGTGGTGAGTGGCGGTGGTGAGCGATGGTGGTGAGTGGCGGTGGTGAGTGATGGTGGTGAGTGGCGGTGGTGAGTGGCGGTGGTGAGTGGCGGTGGTGAGTGGTGAGTGGCGGTGGTGAGTGATGGTGGTGAGTGGCGGTGGTGAGTGATGGTGGTGAGTGATGGTGGTGAGTGATGGTGGTGAGTGATGGTGAGTGATGGTGGTGAGCGATGGTGGTGAGTGATGGTGAGTGATGGTGGTGAGTGGCGGTGGTGAGCGATGGTGGTGAGTGATGGTGGTGAGTGGTGAGTGATGGTGGTGGGTGGCGGTGGTGAGCGATGGTGGTGAGTGGCGGTGGTGAGCGATGGTGGTGAGTGGCGGTGGTGAGTGATGGTGGTGAGTGGCGGTGGTGAGTGGCGGTGGTGAGTGGCGGTGGTGAGTGGTGAGTGGCGGTGGTGAGTGGTGAGTGATGGTGGTGAGTAATGGTGGTGAGTGATGGTGGTGAGCGATGGTGGTGAGTGATGGTGGTGAGCGATGGTGGTGAGTGGCGGTGGTGAGTGATGGTGGTGAGCGATGGTGGTGAGTGGCGGTGGTGAGGGTCTCACTCTCTGGGCTGAGCTCAGTCGATCCCTGCCTCAGGTCCTGCAGCTGCTGCTTGGATCTCTGCAGCCGCTGCTCCACATGGAACAGCTGCACACCGTGTCGAGTAGGACACACGTGTCACGCAGTGTGTAGTGTATAGTGTATAGTAGTGTGTAGTGTAGTAGTGTAGTGTGTAGTGTAGTGTATAGTGTAGTGTATAGTGTAGTGTGTAGTAGTGTAGTGTAGTGTGCAGTGTGTAGTGTATAGTGTAGTGTAGTGTGTAGTAGTGTAGTGTGTAGTGTATAGTAGTAGTGTAGTGTGTAGTGTATAGTAGTGTAGTGTATAGTGTAGTGTGTAGTAGTGTAGTGTATAGTGTAGTGTATAGTGTGTAGTGTAGTGTGTAGTGTAGTGTGTAGTGTAGTGTAGTAGTGTAGTGTGTAGTGTAGTGTGTAGTGTAGTGTAAGGTGTAGTGTATAGTGTAGTGTATAGTGTAGTGTGTAGTGTAGTGTGTAGTGTAGTGTGTAGTAGTGTAATGTGTAGTGTGTAGTAGTGTAGTGTATAGTGTAGTGTATAGTGTAGTGTAGTGTGTAGTGTAGTGTGTAGTGTAGTGTATAGTGTAGTGTGTAGTGTAGTGTATAGTGTAGTGTATAGTAGTGTAGTGTGTAGTGTATAATGTAGTGTGTAGTGTAGTGTATAGTAGTGTAGTGTATAGTGTAGTGTGTAGTAGTGTAGTGTATAGTGTGTAGTGTAGTGTGTAGTGTAGTGTATAGTGTAGTGTATAGTGTAGTGTATAGTGTAGTGTATAGTGTATAGCGTAGTGTGTAGTAGTGTATAGTGTAGTGTATAGTAGTAGTGTGTAGTGTAGTGTATAGTGTAGTGTGTAGTGTAGTGTGTAGTGTAGTGTGTAGTGTAGTGTGTAGTGTAGTGTATAGTGTAGTGTATAGTGTAGTGTGTAGTGTATAGTGTAGTGTATAGTGTAGTGTGTAGTAGTGTATAGTGTAGTGTAGAGTGTAGTGTATAGTGTAGTGTATAGTGTAGTGTGTAGTGTAGTGTATAGTAGTGTAGTGTGTAGTGTATAGTGTAGTGTATAGTGTAGTGTGTAGTGTAGTGTGTAGTGTAGTGTGTAGTGTAGTGTATAGTGTAGTGTATAGTGTAGTGTGTAGTAGTGTATAGTGTAGTGTGTAGTAGTGTAGTGTATTGGGTAGTGTATAGTGTAGTGTATAGTGTAGTGTAGTGTATAGTAGTAGTGTATAGTGTAGTGTATAGTGTAGTGTATAGTGTAGTGTGTAGTGTAGTGTGTAGTGTAGTGTGTAGTGTAGTGTGTAGTGTAGTGTGTAGTAGTGTGTAGTGTATAGTGTAGTGTGTAGTAGTGTATAGTGTAGTAGTTTATAGTGTAGGGTGTAGTAGTGTAGTATATAGTAGTGTAGTGTATAGTGTAGTGTGTAGTAGTGTATAGTGTAATGTATAGTGTAGTGTATAGTGTAGCGTGTAGTGTATAGTGTAGTGTGTAGTGTAGTGTGTAGTGTAGTGTGTAGTAGTGTAGTGTATAGTGTATTGTAGTGTGTAGTAGTGTATAGTGTAGTGTGTAGTGTAGTGTGTAGTAGTGTAGTGTGTAGTGTAGTGTATAATGTAGTGTATAGTAGTGTAGTGTGTAGTGTAGTGTATAGTAGTGTAGTGTGTAGTGTAGCGTATAGTGTAGTGTGTAGTAGTGTATAGTGTAGTGTATAGTGTAGTGTGTAGTGTAGTGTGTAGTAGTGTAGTGTAGTGTGTAGTGTAGTGTATAGTAGTGTAGTGTGTAGTGTAGTGTATAGTGTAGTGTGTAGTAGTTTATAGTGTAGTGTATAGTGTAGTGTATAGTGTAGTGTATAGTGTAGTAGTTTATAGTGTAGTGTATAGTGTAGTGTACAGTGTAGTGTGTAGTAGTGTAGTGTAGTGTGTAGTGTAGTGTATAGTAGTGTAGTGTATAGTGTAGTGTGTAGTAGTTTATAGTGTAGTGTATAGTGTAGTGTGTAGTAGTGTATAGTGTAGTGTGTAGTAGTGTATGGTGTAGTAGTGTATAGTGTAGTAGTTTATAGTGTAGTGTATAGTGTAGTAGTGTATAGTGTAGTGTATAGTGTAGTGTATAGTGGAGTGTGTATAGTGTAGTGTGTAGTGTATAGTGTAGTGTGTAGTAGTGTAGTGTGTAGTGTACTGTATAGTGTAGTGTATAGTGTAGTGTATAGTAGTGTATAGTGTACTGTATAGTGTAGTGTATAGTGTAGTGTATAGTAGTGTATAGTGTAGTGTGTAGCAGTGTATAGTGTAGTGTATAGTGTAGTGTATAGTGTAGTGTGTAGTGTAGTGTATAGTGTAGTGTAGTGTGTAGTGTGTAGTAGTGTATAGTGTAGTAGTTTATAGTGTAGTGTAGTGTGTAGTAGTGTATAGTGCAGTAGTTTATAGTGTAGGGTGTAGTAGTGTAGTATATAGTAGTGGTGTATATTGTAATGTATAGTGTAGTACAGTGTGTAGTATATAGTGTAGTGTATAGTGTAGTGTATAGGGCAGACCTGGTCATGTTGCGGGTACAGGTGGTGGTGGGTCAGATTTTTGGGGGAGGTGAATGGGGGATAGTTGAGCAGTCCTGTCAAAGGTGTCAGCAAGGTTTGACCACGTTGGGGGTCACGTTAGGTCAAGGGGTTAGGTCAGGTTGGGGCAGGGGGGGGTCAGGTCAAGTAGGTCAGGGCAGGCCACGTCATGTTGGGGTTCAGGTGGTGATGGGTCAGGTTTTGGGGGGGGTTGGAGGGGGTCAGGTCAGGTCAGCAAAATTTGACCAGGTCATGGGGTCAGGTCAGGTTGGTGGTGCAGGCCCGGGTAGGTTGTTAGGGACGGCCAGACAGATTCTTGGGGTCAGGTTATGTTTGGGGTTCAGGTCAGGGGTCAGGTTTTGGTGGCGGCTGAGGGGATGGTCATGTCAAAGGGGTCAGGTCAGCTAGGTTTGACCGGTTCGGGGGTCAAGGGGTCAGGTCAGGTTGGTGGGTCAGGTCCGGTTAAGGCCATCAGGTCAGGCCAGAGACAGATAATTACTGGGGGCTGGGTCATGTTTGGGCGTTCAGGTGGCGACGGGTCAGGTCGTGGGAGTGTGGGGGCGGCGGGGGGGGGGGTGTGGTCCAGGGGTCAGGGGTCAGGGGTCAGGCGAGGGTCACCTGGTTGCGCTGCTCGCTCTTCTGGAGGGTCAGCGTCTCCTCGCGCTCCCTCTCCACGCGCAGGCCATGGACAGCCTCCAACAGCTTGGCCTGGCCCGAGACCGACTCCCCCTGGACAAGAAGGCAAAGGTCCCCCGTGTAGCCTGAGCAGACCGCTGGGGCAAGTGCTGTTAGCCGGCACGGCGCGCGAGGGGGGGAGGGGGGTGGGGGGTGGAGTGGGTAGCCAGCGCCGAGCCCGGCCGCCTTTCGCTCCCCCGCGTGCCGGTGTTTACCACGCACCGCACCAGGTACTGGTTTAAGGCCGAGTCGACCTAGGGGAGGCAAAAAGACCGGTTCAGATAATCGTCACCGGCGGTGTTGGCCGTGAGCAGGAATCGAACTCGGGTCGTCAGGTTCGTGGCGCTAACCGCTCCCCACACACACACACAGACAAAGGTCCCCCGTGTAGCCTTCGACAGGCCCGCTGGGGGCAAGTGCTGTTAGTGAGCAGCAGCGTCAATCTCCCCTCCAATCTCCTTCCCTCTCTCCCTCCCTCCGATCTCCCCTCCAATCTCCCCTCCCTCCCTCACCCCCAATCTCCCCTCCCCTCCAATCTCCCTCTATCCAACCCCTCCAATCTCCCCTCCCTCCCTCCCCTCCCCTCCAATCTCCCCTCCCCTCCAATCTCCCCTCCCTCCCTCCCCTCCAATCTCCCCTCCCTCCAATCTCCCCTCCAATCTCCCCTCCCCTCCAATCTCCCTCTATCCAACCCCTCCAATCTCCCCTCCAATCTCCCCTCCCTCCCCTCCAATCTCCCCTCCCTCCAATCTCCCCTCCCTCCAATCTCCCCTCCCTCCAATCTCCCCTCCCTCCCCTCCGTCTAATTTCCCCTCCCTCCTCCCTCCCTCCCCTCCCTCTCCCCCTCCACCTGCCCCTCTCCCCTCCCTACCCCCCTCCCTCCCTCCCCTCCCACTCTACCTTCCTCCCTCCCTCCCTCCCCTCCCACTCTACCTTCCTCTTGAGTCGCTCCACTCGCTTCTCCAACGTCTCCCTCTCCTCTTCCATAGCCGCGATGTCCTGGCAGAGAACACACGGGGAGAGACACGGGGAGACACGGGGAGACACGGGGAGAGACACGGGGAGACACGGGGAGACAGGGAGACACGGGGAGACACGGGGAGACACGGGGAGACACGGGGAGACAGGGAGACGCAAGGAGACACGGGGAGACACGGGGAGACACGGGGAGACACGGGGGACACGGAGAGACAGGGAGACACAAGGAGACACGGGGAGACACGGGGAGACACGGGAGGGGAGACACAGAGAGACACAAGGGGAGACACGGGGAGACAGGGAAACACGGGGAGACACGCAGGGACACGCGGGAGGGGAGACAGGGGGAGACACGGGGAGACACAAGGAGACACGGGGAGAGACAGGGAGACAGGGGGAGACAGGGAGACACGGGGAGACACGGGGAGACACAAGGAGACACGGGGAGACACGGGGAGACACGGGGAGACACGGAGAGACAAGGAGACGCGGGAGGGGAGACACGGGGAGACACGGAGACACGGGGAGACACAAGGAGAGACACGGGGAGACACGGGGAGACAGGGAGACACGCAGGGAGACGCGGGAGGGGAGACACAAGGAGAGACAGGGAGACACAAGGAGAGACAGGGAGACACAAGGAGAGACAGGGAGACATGGGGACACACAGGGAGACGTGGGAGGGGAGACACGGAGAGACAGGGAGACACAAGGAGAGACAGGGAGATACAAGAAGAGACAGGGAGACACAAGGAGAGACAGGGAGACATGGGGACACACAGGGAGACGTGGGAGGGGAGACACGGAGAGACAGGGAGACACAAGGAGACACAGGGAGACACGGGGAGACACGCAGGGACACGCGGGAGGGGAGACACGGAGAGACAGGGAGACCCGGGGAGACACGGGGAGACACGGGGAGACGCGGGGAGACACGGGGAGACGCGGGGAGACACGGGGAGACGCGGGAGGGGCGACACGGAGAGACAGGGAGACACGGGGAGACACGGGGAGACACAGGGAGACGTGGGAGGGGAGACACGGAGAGACAGGGAGACACGGGGAGACACGCAGGGACACGCGGGAGGGGAGACACGGAGAGACAGGGAGACACAGGGAGACACGGGGAGACACGGGGAGACACAGGGAGACACAGGGAGACACGGGGAGACACAGGAGGGGAGACACGGAGAGACAGGGAGACACAAGGAAACATGGGGCGAGACAGAGAGACACGGGGAGACATGAGGGGGGAGGGGAGACACGGAGAGACAGGGAGACACGGGGAGACACGGGGAGAGACGGGGAGACACGGGGAGACGCGAGGAGACGCGGGAGGGGAGACACGGAAGACACGGAGAGACAGGGAGACACAAGGAGACACGGGGAGACACGGGGAGACACGGCGAGACACGGGGAGACGCGAGGAGACGCGGGAGGGGAGACACGGAGAGACAGGGAGACACGGGAACACGGTGAGACGGGGAGACACGGGGAGAGACGGGGAGACACGGGGAGACGCGGGAGGGGAGACACGGAGACACGGGGAGACACGGGGAGACACGGGGAGACACGGGGAGACACAGGGAGACGCAAGGAGACGCGGGAGGGGAGACACGGAAAGACAGGGAGACACGGGAACACGGTGAGACGGGGAGACACAGGGACACGGAGAGACAGGGAGACACGGGGAGAGACGGGGAGACACGGGGAGACGCGGAAGGGGAGACACGGAGAGACAGGGAGACACAAGGTGACACGGGTAGACACGGGGAGACGCGAGGAGACGCGGGAGGGGAGACACGGACAGGGAGACACAGGGACACGGAGAGACAGGGTGACACGGGGAGACACGGGGAGACAGGGAGACACAGGGACACGGAGAGACAGGGTGACACGGGAAGACACGGGGAGACACGGGGAGACACGGGGAGACACGGGGAGACACAGGGACACGGAGGGACAGGGTGACACGGGGAGACACGGGGAGACACGGGGAGACACGGAGAGACAGGGAGACACAGGGACACGGAGGGACAGGGTGAGCTGCACCTGGCCGTCACAAATGATAGCGGCTCATCATCGCCGTCGTCATCGTCGCGTGGACATTGACAGCACCCAAATACACAAATAAGCGCACGAGTCTAAATGTGGAAGGGAATAAACCGGAGGACCCGGAGTAAAATCCACGCGACCACGGGGACGCAGACTCCAAATAAACAGCAGCAGCAGGCGTCAGGGACGGGATGGAACCCACGACCTCCTGTAGACCAGGCGAGGTAGTCAACATCTCATAGCCACCGTGATGATGATGAGAGAGACGCAGACTCCAAATATACAGCAGCAGCAGGCATCAGGGTCGGGATCGAACCCACGACCTCCTGTGTACCAGGCAAGGTAGTCAACATCTCATAGCTACCGTGATGATGATGAGAGAGACACTGCAAACTCCAAATCTACAGCAGCAGCAGGCGTCGGGGACGGGATGGAACCCACGACCTCCTGTAGACCAGGCGAGGGAGTTAACATCTCCTAGCCACCGTGATGATGATGAGAGAGAGAGACGCAGACTCCAAATCTACAGCAGCAGCAGGCGTCGGGGACGGGATGGAACCCACGACCTCCTGTAGACCAGGCGAGGGAGTTAACATCTCCTAGCCACCGTGATGATGATGAGAGAGAGAGACGCAGACTCCAAATATACAGCAGCAGGCATCAGGGTCGGGATGGAACCCACGACCTCCTGCGTACCAGGCGAGGTAGTCAACATCTCATAGCCACCGTGTCTCATCCCCCCCTGCCCCCCCCCCCCCCACCCCCTCCCACCCCCTCCCCCTCCACCCCCCCCCCCAAAACCTTGCGGATGTCATTGCTGCTGAAGCCGGACGCTCGCAGTTGGTCCACGGCCTTGTGCAGCGACGTGAACTCGCTCAGCAGCTCCTCGTACTGCGGTAACCACGGCGACCGGCGGGCAGCGGCGGCGGTAACCCACGGCGACGGAGCGGTGACCACGCCGGGGGTGGGCGGGGGGGCGGGGGGCGGGGGGGGGGGGCGGGGGGCGGGGGGGGGGGGGGAAACGCACGGGGGTTAAGCGCGGGATTTCACGGCCGCCACCATCTTTATTGTCACCAGGTGTTAGTCCCCCTCCGAGCTGCGGGTGTTTCTCTCCGTCAGAAGCGGGCCCTCCCCCCCCCCCCCCCCCCCCCCCCCCCCCCCCCCCCCCCCCCCCCCCCCCCCCCCCCCCCCGCCGCCCCGGGCCATCGCGCACGACAGCGGCTCGTCCCCGGCTTGGCGGGGAGCCTTTCGGCAAAGTCGTCGACGCAGTGGGCACGAAGTGAAGTACGTCGCGACGGTTTCGGGGCGCGACGCCCGAGGAATGGGTGTCGAACCAAGGTTGTGGATTTAGAGGTTTTTTTTTTTTCGTGACCGCAAGGATCAACACTCTTTGGTTCCGTGCAAAGCCACGGGCTTTTTTTTTGAGATCAGAGATTTGTCCACGAGGCAATTCAGATTTGCAAAACACGGGCGCAATTTCAACCGAGAGGACGGTTTCAAATTAAGCGACCGTTGGAAAGATGTTCCGAGTCGAACCAAACATTAAACTAATTTTCAACGATTGAAAGCGTTTCGCGACTGCAAGGATTCATCATCTTCTTCTTTGGTTCCTTCGGTAAAGTCACCACCACGTAGAATGAGAATAAACGACTTATTGTTGGTAGCTTAGCTGATTGCAGAATATATAGAGTTCATTGATAACATTGAGGTAGTTTATATTTTAGTTTTTTTATTGGTTTACTATATGGTATTCATTACATAGTGTAGTGTATACCCAGTTACCGTTAATAGCTGTTACATAGCTGTTACAACGCTGTGGGTGATCACGATATAGTTTCCTCCGATACCAAGGCTCTCTGCAAACCCACGGGTTTTTTTTAATCAGAGATTTGTCCACGAGGCAATTCAGATTTACAAAACACGGGCGCAATTTCAACCGAGAGGACGGTTTCAAATTAAGCAACCGTTGGAAAGATGTTCCGAGTCGAACCAAACATTAAACTAACTTTCAACGATTTCAAGCGTTTCGCGACTGCAAGGATTCATCATCTTCTTCTTTGGTTCCTTCGGTAAAGTCACCACCACGTAGAATGAGAATAAACGACTTATTGTTGGTAGCTTAGCTGATTGCAGAATATATAGAGTTCATTGATAACATTGAGGTAGTTTATATTTTAGTTTTTTTATTGGTTTACTATATGGTATTCATTACATAGTGTAGTGTATACCCAGTTACCGTTAATAGCTGTTACATAGCTGTTACAACGCTGTGGGTGATCACGATATAGTTTCCTCCGATACCAAGGCTCTCTGCAAACCCACGGGTTTTTTTAAATCAGAGATTTGTCCACAAGGCAATTCAGGTTTACAAACACGGGCGCAATTTCAACCGAGAGGATGGTTTCAAATTAAGCAACCATTGGAAAGATGTCCTGAATCGAACCAAACATTAAACTAATTTTCAACGGTACAGTATATTTTTTTCAAGTAGCGGTATCCCAAAACTTCCGCAGCTGCTTAAATTCCCTTTTCACACCATCAATATGTAAACTCCCCCCTCCCCCCCTCGCTGGTCTGCACATGTTCACCGCCTCTATACCGTTCATCATGCTAAGTCCGCCAATTAAATGCAAATTTTTACGCTAATTCCTTTGTCAAGGCACCTAAATTGCTCTCACACAAGCTTAAAGTAAAGTCACCACGTAGAATGAGAATAAAATAATAAATTGACAAAATAAAATAACACAATAATATTCTCACGACGTTTCGGCCACAACACAAGCGGCCTTCATCAGGTGAAGGGACGAGACTGTCTGGTAGGACAGCGCTGGAGTGAAAGAGCCACGTTCAGATCACGACCTTTAAGCTGTGTGAGAGGAAACAAAGCGCCTTGACAAAGGAATTAGCATATAATTTAGCATTGAAATGGCTGAGTGATTAGCTTGTGACCAGACAGTCTCGTCCCTTCGCCTGATGAAGGCCGCTTGTGTCGTGGCCGAAACGTCGTGAGAATATCATTGCGTCATTTTATTTTATCAATTTATTATTTTATTCTCATTCTAAGTGGTGGTGGTGACTTTACCGAAAGAACCAAAGAAGGTGAATCATTGCAGTCACGAAAGCTTCAAATCGAAAAATACAAGCTTAAAGGTCGCGGTCTGAGCTTGGCTGTGTTCGCTCCAGCGCTGTCCTCCAGACAGTCCGGTCCCTTCACCTGATGAAGGCCGCTTGTGCTGTGGCCGAAACGTCGTGAGAATTTTTTTATTTTATTTTTTGTTGTTGTTGTTGTTGTTGTTTTTTTTACGGCGACTTTTTCCTTCCGAATAGAACCAAAGAGTGTGTAGCCCAAGGGGGCGTCAAGAAGTGGCCGGGGCCCCGGTGACGTTCGATTCGAAAGCTTTCGTGATCGCAGGGATTCGCCTCCTTGGTTCTTTCGGTAAAGTCACCACCACGTAAAGGAGGGAAGCAATGAAATAACAATTTTAACAAAAAAATTTTTTACACAAAAACAACAAAATTCCAGCGACGTTTCGAATTTTCCTGCCGTGGTTTTCACACCTGATGACGACTGCCGCTGCTGTTGCTGCTGATGCTTTGTGTTGCGGTCGAAAGCGTCGTGAGAATTGTATTGCTTTTGCTTTTTTTGTATATTTTTTTGCTATTTTATTGTTTCCCTTCTACCAAGGAATGCGGCGCTGGTGATGTTAACGTGAGAAAATTTGGCGCGCAACTGTAAGGTAGGAGCGCAGCGGGCTTCCCGGCGAGGCCACGGAAGCGGCTGTGCGGCCCGGCGGACGTTGGCTCGTCACGCGGACGTCCATATCAGCCAAAGACTCTTCGACGCGTGATGCCGATTCACCAAAATCCACGCGACCACCACGGAGAGAGGGAACGAGATGCCAACTCCAAATATACGGGCGTCGTCAGGGCGGGGATCGGCCCCACAATCTCCTGCGTAGCAGGCAAGGTGTGTATGTGGGTATTTCTTTATAGTGTAGTGTATAGCGGTGTCGCGTACAGTGTAGTGTGTGTAGTGTCACGCATGGTAGTGTGACGTGCAGTCACACACACACACACGTGTCACACACACACACACGTGTCACACACACACACTGTCACACACACACACACACACGTGTCACACACACACACACGTGTCACACACACACACACGTGTCACACACACACACACGTGTCACACACACACACCCGTGTCACACACACACACACACGTGTCACACACACACACACGTGTCACACACACACGTGTCACACACACACACGTGTCACACACACACACACGTGTCACACACACGTGTCACACACACACACAGGTGTCACACACACACACAGGTGTCACACACACACACGTGTCACACAAACACACGTGTCACACCACAAACACACGTGTCACACACACACACACACGTGTCTCACACACACACACACACGTGTCACACACACGTGTCTCACACACACACACGTGTCACACACACACACGTGTCACACACACACACGTGTCACACACACACACGTGTCACACACACACACGTGTCACACACACACGTGTCTCACACACACATGTGTCTCACACACACACATGTGTCTCACACACACACACACACGTGTCACACACACACACGTGTCTCACACACACACATGTGTCTCACACACACACACACACGTGTCACACACACACACGTGTCTCACACACACACACACACGTCCGCCCGTGCCTCTCGGTCCTCTCGTGTGTCCCTGTATGTCCCCTTGTCTCTCTATCACCCGGTGCATCCCTGTGTCTCTCTCTATCACCCCGTGTATCCGTGTGTCTCTCTCTGTCTCCCCGTGCATCCCTGTGTCTCTCTCTGTCTCCCCGTGTGTCTCTCTCTGTCTCCCCGTGTGTCCCCGTGTCTCTCTCTGTCTCCCCGTGTGTCTCTCTCTGTCTCCCCGTGTGTCCCCGTGTGTCTCCCCGTGTGTCCCCGTGTGTCCCCGTGTGTCTCTCTCTGTCTCCCCGTGCAGTGTCTCTCTCTGTCTCCCCGTGCATCCCTGTGTCTCTCCCTGTCTCCCCGTGTGTCTCTCTCTGTCTCCCCGTGCATCCCTGTGTCTCTCCCTGTCTCCCCGTGTGTCTCTCTCTGTCTCCCCGTGTGTCTCCCCGTGTGCCCCCCGTGTGCCCCCGCGAGCATGTTGCATTTCTGTCTAGTGTAGTGTATGGCGGCGTGGCGTACAGTGCAGTGCAGTGTGTGTGTGTAGCGTCACGCATGGCAGTGTGACGGGCACCATTGCACGCTAAGCCTCTTCGGCACAACGCGGCTCGTCTCAAATCCACGCGACCACCACGGACAGACAGACAGAGACAGAGAGAGAGAGAGGCAAACTCACAAATCCACGCGACCACCACGGACAGACAGAGCGAGAGACAGAGAGAGAGAGAGATCGGGAGAGAGAGAGAGGCAAACTCACAAATACACGGCAGGCATCGGCACGGGTCGGGATCGAAATCACAAGCTCCTACAGAGACCTCGGCGTGAAAGATGCAGGGACCCCCGGCCCCCCCCGCCCACCTCGCCCCCCACTGACCCCCCCCCCGACACCGCCCCCCACCTGGGCGTGGGCGTCCGCGAGCGCGGGGTCCTGGAGGTGCTCGGCCGGAACGTCGACCCGCTGCAGGAAGCGGCCCAGGTAGGCACGCTTCTTCAGCTCGTCCAGACGCGGCAGCAGCCACGCCAGCAGCGAGTGGACAACCGCTTTGTCGCCCGCCACCAGGCCCTGCCTGAAACCACTCCTACACGTGGCACACACACACACATGTGTCACACACACGTGTCACACACACACACGTGTCACACACACACACACGTGTCACACACACACACACACGTGTCACACACGCACACACACACGTGTCACACACACACATCACACACGTCACACACACACATCACACACACACACGTGTCACACACACAGTGTCACACACACACACACGTGTCACACACACACGTGTCACACACACACACACGTGTCACACACACACACACACGTGTCACACACACACATCACACACGTCACACACACACATCACACACACACACGTGTCACACACGCACACGTGTCACACACACACACACGTGTCACACACACACACACGTGTCACACACACGTGTCACACACACGTGTCACACACACACGTGTCACACACACACGTGTCACACACACACACGTGTCACACACACACGTGTCACACACACGTGTCACACACATGTCACAAACACACATCACACACACACGTCTCACACACACGTGTCACACACACAGGTGTCACACACACACACATCACACACGTGTCACACACACACACATCACACATACACACGTGTCACACACACACACGTGTCACACACACACACACGTATCACACACACATCACACACACACACACGTCACACACATCACACACACGTGTCACACACACACACGTGTCACACACACACATCACACACACGTGTCACACACACGTGTCACATACACACACGTGTCACACACGTGTCACACACACACACATCACACACACGTGTCACACACACACACATCACACACGTGTCACACACACATCACACACACACACACGTGTCACACACACACATCACACACACACACGTGTCACACACACACTTCACACACACACACACGTGTCACACACACACACACGTCACACACACACACGTGTCATACACACACATCACACACATGTCACACACACACGTGTCATACACACACATCACACACATGTCACACACACACACGTCACACACACACATGTCATACACACACATCACACACACACGTGTCATACACACACATCACACACATGTCACACACACACATGTCACACACACACACATGTCATACACACACATCACACACACACACGTGTCACACACACATCACACACATGTCACACAAACACACTCATCACACACACATGTGTCACACACACACGTGTCACACACACACACATCACACACATGTCATACACACACCACACACACACGTGTCACACACACACACGTGTCACACACACACGTGTCACACTCACACACACACATCACACGTGTCACACACACACGTGTCACACACACACGTGTCACACACACACACGTGTCACACACACACACACGTGTCACACACACACACACATACGTGTCACACACACACACGTGTCACACACGCACACGTGTCACACACGCACACGTGTCACACACACACTTCACACACACACACGTGTCACACACGCACACACGTGTCACACACACACACATGTCACACACACACGTGTCACACACACGTGTCACACACACACACATACACACGTGTCACACACACACACGTGTCACACACACGTGTCACACACGTGTCACACACGTCACACACACACACATCACACATACACACGTGTCACACACACACGTGTCACACACACACACGTATCACACACACATCACACACACACACGTGTCACACACACACACGTGTCACACACACACATCACACACACACGTGTCACACACACACACACGTGTCACATACACACACGTGTCACACACGTGTCACACACACACATCACACACACGTGTCACACACACACATCACACACGTGTCACACACACACACAGGTGTCACACACACACGTGTCACACACGCACACGTGCCACACACGCACACGTGTCACACACACACACTTCACACACACACACGTGTCACACACGCACACACGTGTCACACACACACACTTGTCACACACACACGTGTCACACACACGTGTCACACACACACATCACATATACACACGTGTCACACACACACGTGTCACACACACACACGTATCACACACACATCACACACACACACGTGTCACACACGTGTCACACACACACACATCACACACACACATCACACACACGTGTCACACACACACACGTGTCACATACACACACGTGTCACACACGTGTCACACACACACACATCACACACACGTGTCACACACACACATCACACACGTGTCACACACACATCACACACACACACACGTGTCACACACACATCACACACACACGTGTCACACACACACTTCACACACACACACGTGTCACACACACACACACGTCACACACACACACGTGTCACACACACATCACACACATGTCACACAAACACACTCATCACACACACACGTGTCACACACACACACGTGTCACACACACACAGATCACACACACACACACGTGTCATACACACATATCACACACACACACACACACGTGTCACACACACATCACACACATGTCACACAAACACACTCATCACACACACACGTGTCACACACACACACGTGTCACACACACACACATCACACACATGTCACACACATGTCATGCACACACATCACACACACACACACGTGTCACACACACACACACACGTGTCACACACACACACATGTCACACACATGTCATACACACACATCACACACACACGTGTCACACACACACGTGTCACACACACACACGTCCCCCCGTGCCTCTCGGTCCTCTCGTGTGTCCCTGTATGTCCCCTTGTCTCTATCACCCCGTGTATCCCTGTGTCTCCCTGTCTCCCCGTATCTCTCCGTGTGTCTCTGTGTCCCGTGCGTCCCCGTGTGTCTCCGTGTGTCTCCGTGTGTCTCCGTGCGTCCCCGTGCATCTCTGTGTGTCTCTGTGTTTCCCCGTGCGTCTCCGTGTGTCTCCGTGTGTCTCCGTGCGTCTCCATGTGTCTCCGTGCGTCCCCGTCTGTCTCCGTGTGTCTGCGCGTCTCACCAGTCCCCATGTGTCCCCGTGTGTCTCCTTGTGTCTGCGCGTCTCCGTGCGTCCCCGTGTTTCTCCGTGCGTCCCCGTGTGTCTCTGTGTGTCCCCGTGTGTCTCCGTGTGTCTCTGTGTGTCTCCGTGTCTCTGTGTGTCCCCGTGTCTCCGTGTGTCTCCGTGTGTCCGGGTGTCTCTCCGTGTGTCCCAGTGTCTCTCCGCGTGTCCCGGTGTCTCTCTGTGTGTCCCCGTGTGTCTCTGTGTGTCTCTGTGTGTCTCTCCGTGTCTCTCTGTGTGTCCCCGTGTGTCTCTGTGTGTCTCTGTGTGTCTCTCAGTGTCTCTCTGTGTGTCCCCGTGTGTCCCCGTGTCTCTCCGTGTCTCTCCGTGTGTCTCCGTGTCTCCCCGTGTGTCTCCGTGTCTCTCCGTGTCTCTCCGTGTGTCCCCGTGTCTCTCCGTGTCTCCTCGTGTGTCTCCGTGTGTCTCCGTGTGTCTCCTTGTGTCTGCGCGTCTCACCGGTCTCCCTCTTCCTCGGGGGGTTTGTACTTGAGGAGCTTCAGGGCTCCCAGGAGACGCAAGGCCGTCTGATCCGGAGACTCCTCACGCACGTCCACAGTGTGCTGAGACACGGAGACACACGGAGACACACGGAGACACGGAGACACGGAGACACACGGAGACACACGGAGACACACGGAGAGACACCGGGACACACGGGGACACGGAGACACACGGAGACACACGGGGAGACACGGGGACACACGGAGACACATGGAGACACGGAGAGACACGGAGACACACGGGGAGACACCAGGAGACACGGAGAGACACGGGGACACACGGAGACACACGGGGACACACGGAGACACACAGAGACACACGGGGACACAGAGACACGGAGACACACGGAGACACACGGGGACACACAGAGACACACGGAGACACACGGGGAGACACGGACACACACGGAGACACGGGGACACACGGAGAGACACGGCGACACACGGAGAGACACGGAGACACACGGAGACACACAGAGACACACGGAGACACACGGGGACACACAGAGACACACGGAGAGACACGGAGAGACACCAGGACACATAGAGACACACGGAGACACACAGAGAGACACTGGGACACACGGAGAGACACGGAGAGACACACGGAGACACACGGAGACACGGAGAGACACGGGGACACACAGGGACACATGGAGACACACGGAGACACACGGAGACACGGAGACACACGGAGACACACGGGGACACACGGGGACACACGGAGACACACGGGGACACACGGGGAGACACGGAGAGACACCGGGACACACGGGGACACACGGAGACGCACGGAGAGACACGGAGACACACGGGGACACACGGGGACACACGGGGAGACACGGAGACACACGGGGACACACGGGGACACACGAAGACACGGAGAGACACGGGGACGCATAGGGAGACACGGAGACACACGGAGACACACGGGGACACACAGAGACACACGGAGACATGGGGACACACGGGGACACACGGAGAGACACGGAGAGACACACGGAGACACACGGAGAGACACCAGGACACATAGAGACACACGGAGACACACGGAGACACACGAAGACACACGGAGAGACACACGGAGACACACGGAGAGACACACGGAGACACACGGAGAGACACCAGGACACAGAGACACACGGAGACACACGGAGAGACACGCGGAGACACACGGAGACACACGGAGAGACACGGAGAGACACCAGGACACAGAGACACACGGAGACACACGGAGAGACACACGGAGACACACGGAGATACACGGAGAAAGGAGACACGCACAGGGACACACAGGGAGACACGGGGACACACGGGTAGTAGTGAGTACTAGTTAGTAGTGAGTAGTAGTTAGTAGTACTAGTGAGTACTAGTGAGTAGTACCAGTAAGTAGTAGTGAGCAGTAGTACTAGTGAGTAGTAGTGAGTAGTAGTACTAGTGAGTACGAGTGAGTAGTAGTGAGTAGTAGTACTAGTGAGTACGAGTGAGTAGTAGTGAGTAGTAGTACTAGTGAGTACTAGTGAGTAGTACCAGTGAGTAGTAGTGAGTAGTAGTACTAGTGAGTACTAGTGAGTAGTAGTGAGTAGTAGTACTAGTGAGTACTAGTGAGTAGTAGTAGTACTAGTGAGTACGAGTGAGTAGTACAAGTTAGTAGTGAGTACTAGTGAGTAGTGAGAACTAGTGAGTAGAAGTACTCGTGAGTAGTACTAGTGAGTACTAGTTAGTAGTGAGCACTAGTGAGTACTAGTGAGTACTAGTTCGTGCTAGTTAGTAGTGAGTAGTTAGTACTAGTTAGTAGTGAGTACTAGTTAGTACTAGTTAGTAGTGTGTAGTAGTAATAGTTAGTAGTACTAGTTAGGAACAGTTAGTAGTGAGTGAGTAGTAGTTAGTAGTGAATAATAGTACTAGTTAGTAGTAAGTAGTACTAGTGGGTACTAGTTAGTAGTGAGTAGTACTAGCTAGTATTGAGTACTAGTTAGTACTAGTTAGTAGTGTGTAGTAGTACTAGTTCTAGTTAGTAGTGAGTAGTAGCACTAGTTAGTACTAGTTAGTAGTGAGTAGTAGTACGAACTAGTACTAGTTAGTAGTAGTACTAGTTAGTTGTGAGTACTAGTTAGTACTAGTTAGTAGTACTAGTTAGTACTAGTTAGTAGTGAGTACTAGTTAGTAGTATTAGTTAGTAGCAGTTAATAGTGATACACTAGTTAGTACTAGTTAGCAGTACTGGTTAGTAGTATTTAGTACTAGTTAGTGGTGAGTAGTACTAACTAGTACTAGTTAGTGGTGAGTACTAGTTAGTACTAGTTACTAGTAGTGAGTACTAGTTAGTAGTTAGTACTAGTTAGTACTACTAACTAATACTAGTTAGTACTAACTAGTATTAGTTAGTAGTAGTAGTGAGTGTGTAGTGGTGGCCTCACTCGCGGGTCTAGGTGAGCGAGGACGTCGCTGAGCAGCTGAAGGAGGCCCAGTGGCGGGAGAGCGTCGAGCGAGATAAGATTCAAGTTCCGTCGGAACGGATCCGCGTTCAGCCGCTCCACGATCAGCCGCTCCATCTTGCCGATGAGCTCACGCTCAACCTGTTGATCGCCGCTTGTTGTTGTCGTTGTTGTTGTTGCTGGTTTGATTGTTGTTTTTAATTGAACACGGAGCTAACCTAGGCGCCAGACGCTGCACAGGCCAGAGCGTTGGCTCCGTTACTATGGAGACGAGGAGGGGAGGGGGCGGAAACGGAAGTTGCGTCACGAACCGCCCCCCCCCCGCCAATTACCCTCCCCCCCGTACCCCCTCAAACCCCTCCCCCTTATACGTCTCCCCTTCAAATCGCCTCCCCCTCAAACCCCACCCCCCTGAAACTCCTCCCCTTAAAACCCCACCGCCCTCAAACCCCTCCTCCTTAAACCCCTCCCCTTTACAACCCACCCCCTTAAAACCCCACCCCTCTCAAACCCCTCCCCCTTAAACCCCTCCCCTTAAAACCCTACCCCCCCCCTCAAACCCCACCCCCCCTCAAACCCCACCCCCACTCAAACTCCTCCCCTTAAACCCCTCCCCTTCAAAACCCACCCCCCTCAAACCCCACCTCTCTCAAACCCCACCCCCCTCAAACTCCTCCCCTTAAAACCCCACCGCCCTCAAACTCCTCCCCTTAAACCCCTCCCCTTCAAAACCCACCCCCCTCAAACCCCTCCCCTTCAAACCCACCCCTTCAAACCCCAACCCCCCTCAAACTCCTCCCCTTAAAACCCCACCGCCCTCAAACTCCTCCCCTTAAACCCCTCCCCTTCAAAACCCACCCCCCTCAAACCCCTCCCCTTCAAACCCCACCCCCCTCAAACTCCTCCCCTTAAACCCCACCTCTCTCAAACTCCTCCCCTTAAACCCCCCTCCCGGAACTTTATTTGTACGGCGACGTTGCGAGTGGATGATGTCATTTCCGGTTAACGTTGCGAGGGTATGACGTTTATTTGTAGATAAGCGCTTGCGAGTGGATAACGTCGTTGTAAGCTCACCGTTGCGAAGTCGATGACGTGTTTGCGTGTCGCCGTTGCGAGTGATATAGACGTCATTGTAGATGAGCCGTTGCGAGTGTGTTACGTCATCGCAGATAGCCGCAGCGAGTGGATGACGCCGTAGAAACCGCCGTTGCGAGTGGATGACGTCGTTGTAGATGAGCCGTTGCGAGTGTGTTACGTCACCGCAGATAGCCGCAGCGAGTGGATGACGCCGTAGAAACCGCCGTTGCGAGTGGATGACGTCGTTGTAGATGAGCCGTTGCGAGTGTGTGTTACGTCACCGCAGATAGCCGCAGCGAGTGGATGACGTCGCTGCGAGTTGATGACGTCATTCGCGTGTTGCCTTTGCGAGTGTGTGACGTCACGCCGACGCGTGTACAGTGCGAGGACTGTAATTGCCACGGTGGTCGCAGCGATAAGCGCCTCCCCTAGGTCGACTGGGCCTCAAATCAGTAACCCTGTGGTGCGGTCTGGTGTGCAGCAAACGTCGCCACTGGGGGGGGAGAGAGGGAGAGACAAAGGCGGCCGGGCGTGGTGGTCGCTAACAGCACTTGCCCCAGCGGCCTGTTAAGAGGCTACACGGGGGACCTTTGTCTTTGTTGTTGTGGTGGTTGTTGTTGTTGCATCAACAACCACAACAACCACCACCATGGTGAGCGTGGCCGGTCGATCCCGGGAGGCCGTCGCGAAGTCCGACCTTGAGGTGAAGGCCCTTGTGCAGGAGGTGGTGAAGTCCGACCTTGAGGTGAAGGCCCTGGTGCAGGAGGTGGCTCAGTGCGCGGGGCCTCTCGCCTCTCTCACGGCGCTCAACGGACGGGCCAAGGAGCGGCTCCAGCGGATGCGGTGAGACGTGGGGGGGTGGTGGTGGGGGGGGGGTGGTGGTGTGGGGGTGGTGGTGGTGGGGGGTGGTGGGGTGGGGGTTGTGGGGGGGGGGGGGGGGGGGGGGGTGGGGGGGGTGGGGGGTGTGGGTGGTGTGGGGGGGGGGTGGGGGGTGGTGGTGTGGGTGGTGGTGGGGAGGTTGTGGTGGGGGGGTGGTGAGGGGGGTGGTGGGGGGGGTGGTGGGGGGGGGGAGGAATCTGATAAGCTGTGAAGCTCTTTTTTCCACAGGGTCACTCCCGTTTACGTCTCCACCTCCACCCCTCCATCTCCTGCCTCACCTGTCCCTCCATCTCCCCCCCCCCTTCACCTCCCCCCCTCCTCTACCTCTCACCTCCACCTCTCCCCCCCCCCCCACGTCCTCCACTTCTCATCTCTCCTCCTCTTCCCTCCACCTCTCCTCTCTCCCCCCCTCCCCCCCACCTCCTCCCCCCCCTCTCCCCCCCCCCCACCTCTCCTCTCTCCCCCTCTCCCCCCCCTCCTCCCCCCCCCCCACCTCCTCCACCTCATCTCTCCCCCCCACGTCCTCCACTTCTCCTCCCCTCCCTCCCCCTCTCATCTCTCCCCCCTCTCCCCCCCCCCACCTCTCATCTCTCCCCCTCTCCCCCCTCTCCCCCCCCACCTCCTCCCCCTCTCATCTCCCCCCCACCTCTCCTCTCTCCCCCTCTCCCCCCCACCTCCCCTCTCCCCCCCACCTCCCCCCCCCCTCCTCCTCCCCCCCTCTCCCCTCCCCCCCCCAGCTCCCTGATCGAGCGCCTGGAGCGCTGTGCCCTGGAGCAGGACCGCGAGTCCGCGCGCCGCGCGTTGCTGGCAGACGCCGGGGCCCACCGGCGCCAGCTGCTGGCCGGGCAGACGGCCCTGCGCAGAGCCTCGCTCGCGGCCTCCACGGCCCTGGGGGCCAGGGCCAGGGACGCTCTGCTGATGCACAGGGAGGAGGAGGAGGTGGTGGGAGGAGGAGGAGGAGGTGGAAGAGGTGGAGGTGGAGGAGGTGGAGCGAGGGACGGGGGAAGAAGCGACGGCGGTGTCGGAGCGTCAGTAAGGATGGAGGCGCGGCAGCGGAGGGCGGCTAAGGAGGTTGGTGGTGGTGGGTGGTTGGTGGGTAGTGGTGGGTGGGTGGTGGGTGGTGGTTGGTGGTGGTGGGTGGTGGTGGGTGGTGGTGGGTGGTGGTTGTTGTGGTGGTGGTGGTGGGTGGTGGTTGTTGTGGTGGTGGGTGGTGGTTGGTGGTGGTAGTGGTTGTTGTGGTTGTTGATGATGATGTTGTGGTGATGTTGTTGATGTTGGTGATGGTGGTGATATTGTTGTTGCTGTGGTGATGGATCTTGTTGTTGTTGATGATGTTGTTGACGATGATGTCGTTGTTGTTGTGGTGATGTTGATGTTGCTGTGGTGGTGGTGATGTTGTTGATATTGTTGTGGTGGTGATGTTGTGATGTTGTTGATGATGTTGTGGTGATGTTGATGTTGTTGCTGTAGTGGTGATGTTGTTGATATTGTTGTGGTGGTGATGTTGTGATGTTGTTGATGATGTTGTTGTGGTGATGTTGTTGTTGCTGTGGTGGTGATGGTGGTGATGTTGTGGTGATGTTGTTGATGATGATGTTGTGGTGATGTTGATGTTGTTGCTGTGGTGGTGATGTTGTTGATATTGTTGTGGTGGTGATGTTGTTGATGTTGATGACGTTGATATTGTTGTTGCTGTGGTGGTGATGGATCTTGTTGTTGTTGATGATGTTGTTGACGGTGATGTTGATGGTGGTGATATTGTGGTGATGTTGTTGTTGCTGTGGTGGTGGTGATGGATCTTGTTGATGTTGTTGACTATGATGTCGTTGTTGTGGTGATGGTGATATTGTTGTTGTTCTGGTTGTTGTTGTTGTTGACGTTGTAGAGCCTGGCTAGGAACACGAGTGACATCACGGAGTCTCTGATGAACGTGAGCCGCATGATGACTCAGCAGCTCGCCAGAGGAGAGGAGACCGTGACCACTCTTGCCACCTCCTCGCAGGTTCACCACCACCACCACCACAACAACCACAACAACAAACACCACCACAACAACCACAACAAACACCACCACCACAACAAACACCACCACCACAACAACCACAACAGCCACAACAACAAACACCACCACAACAACCACAACAAACAAAACCACCACAACACCACCACCACAACAGCCACAACAAACACCACCACCACAACAACCACAACAAACACCACCACCACAACAAACACCACCACCACAACAACCACAACAAATACCACCACCACAACAAGCACAACAACCACCACCACAACAACCACAACAAACACCACCACCACAACAGCCACAACAACAAACACCACCACAACAACGACCACCACAACAACAAACACCACCACCACAACAAGCACAAACACCACCACAAAAAAACACTAGCACAACAACCACCACAACAAACACCAGCACAACAACAAGCACAACAACCACCACCACAACAAACACCACCACCGCAACAAGCACAACAAACACCACCACCACAACAAACACCACCACCACAACAAACACCACCACCACAACAAGCACAACAACAACAAACACCACCACCACAACAAGCACAACAAACACCACCACAACAACAAACACCACCACCACAACAACCACAACAATCACCACCACCACAACAACCACAACAATCACCAACACCACAACAAGCACAACAAACACCACCACCACAACAAACACCAGCACAACAACCACCACAACAAACACAACAACCACCACCACCACCACAACAAGCACAACAAACACCACCACAAGTACCAACACCACAACAAACATCACCGCCACAACAAACACCACCACCACAACAACCACAACAAACACCAATACCACAACAACCACAACAAACACCACCACCATAACCATAACAAACACCACAACAACTAAAACCATCACCACAACGGCCACAAGAACCAAAACCACCACCACCACCACAACAACCACAACAAACACCACCACTACCACAACAAACATCACAACCACCACAGCAAACACCGCCACAACCACAGCAACAACCACGACCACCACAACAGCCACCACCACCACAGCTACCACCACAATCACCACCACCGCTTCCACAGCAACCACCACCACAACAACCACCTCCGATTCGCACAGGTGGTTATGTAGGGTGTGAAAGAAGTTCAACGTGCATCTCCCCGTGGCTCCCCATGTCTCACTGTGTCTCCCCGTCTCCCCGTGTCTCACTGTCTCCCCATCTCCCCGTGTCTCCCCGTGTCTCCCCATGTGTCCCTGTGTCTCCCCGTCTCCCCGTGTCTCCCTGTGTCTCCCTGTGTCTCACCGTGTCTCCCCGTGTCTCCCCGTGTCTCACTGTCTCCACATCTCCCCGTGTCTCCCCGTGTCTCCCCATGTGTCCCTGTGTCTCCCCGTGTCTCCCCGTGTCTCCCCATGTGTCCCTGTGTCTCCCCGTGTCTCCCCGTGTCTCCCCGTGTCTCTCCCCGTGCATCTCCCCGTCTCTCCCCGTGTGTCTCCCCGTGCGTCTCCCCCTGCGTCTCCCCGTGTCTCCCCGTGTCTCCCCGTGTCTCCCTGTCTCTCCCTGTGTCTCCCCCTGTTTCTCCCCGTGTCTTCCCGTGCATCTCCCCATCTCTCCCCGTGTCTCCCCGTGCATCTCCCCGTGTCTCCCCGTGTCGCACTGTGTCTCACTTTGTCTCCCCATGCATCTCCGTTCATCTCCCCGTGTGTCTCCCCGTGTCTCCCCGTGTCTCCCCGTGCGTCTCCCCGTGTCTCCCCGTGCATCTCCCCGTGTCTCCCCGTGTCTCCCCGTGTCTCTCCCCGTGCATCTCCCCGCGTCTCCCCGTGTGTCTCCCCGCGTCTCCCCATGTCTTTACTGTGTCTCCCTGCGTCTCCCCGTCTCTCCCCGTGTGTCTCCCTGCGTCTCCCCGTCTCTCCCCCTGCGTCTCCCCGTCTCTCCCCGTCTCTCCCCGTGCGTCTCCCCCTGCATCTCCCCGTGCGTCTCTCCCCGTGTCTCCCCGTTCGTCTCTCCCCCTGCGTCTCCCCCGCCGCCCGCAGGTGCTGCAGGGCACGGGCGAGGAGCTGAAGGCGATGAGCGGCACGCTGCACCTGAGCCACCGGCTAATCACCAAGTACCGCCGGCGCGAGGTGACGGACCGCCTGCTGGTGCTGCTGGCGCTCGCCCTCTTCCTAGCCACTGTCGCCTACATCCTCAAGAAGCGAATCTTCCACTTCCTCTGAAGCTGCGGCGGCGACGACGGTGGTGGTGGTGGCGAGGGTGGTGGTGGTGGTGACGAGGGTGGTGGTGGCGAGGGTGGTGGTGGCGAGGGTGGTGGCGAGGGTGGTGGTGGTGGTGGTGGTGACGAGGGTGGTGGTGCCGAGGGTGGTGGTGGCGAGGGTGGTGGTGGTGGCGCTCGCCCTCTTCCTAGCCACTGTCGCCTACATCCTCAAGAAGCGAATCTTCCACTTCCTCTGAAGCTGCGGCAACGGTGGCGACGGTGGTGGCAAGGGTGGTGGTGGCGAGGGTGGTGGCGAGGGTGGTGGTGGTGGTGGTGACGAGGGTGGTGATGGTGGTGGCGAGGGTGGTGGTGGCGAGGGTGGTGGTGGTGGCGCTCGCCCTCTTCCTCGCCACTGTCGCCTACATCCTCAAGAAGCGAATCTTCCACTTCCTCTGAAGCTGCGGCTGCGGCGACGGTGGTGGTGGCGAGGGTGGCGACGGTGGTGGTGGTGGCGAGGGTGGTGATGGTGGTGGTGACGAGGGTGGTGGTGGTGGTGGCGAGGGTGGTGGTGGTGGTGGCGAGGGTGGTGGTGGTGGTGGCGAGGGTGGTGGTGGTGGTGGCGAAGATGCTCCTTCCCCTCCACTCCCCCCCCCTCCTCCTCCACTCCACTCCTCCTCCTCACCCCCCTCCTCCACTCCTCCACTCCCCTCCTCCCCTCCCTCCTCTAACCCTCCCTCCCCCCCTCCACTCCTCCCCTCCTCTTCCCCTCCCTCCTCTCACTCACCCCCCACCCCCCTCACCACTCAAATCAACCAACAAACAATTGCCCGAGTTCTGTGATCCTATATCGAGGCGGTTGGGCCCAGCAAACGAAAAATGAAAAAAACAAAAACCGCCACCGATAATCACGATAGAGCGGCAGAACGGCATGGATCGGGAGGCGCCAAGCGATAAACTAGACTACATTTTTATTCCAGCAGGTGGAAGGCCCCCCCCATCGAGTCGCTGTGTAAGGAGCCTTTTTTTCGGAAGCGAACCCTGGGCCATGACCAATGGTCGCGGCTCAACGGAGCGGCTTAATCATCATCATCGTCGTCGTCATCATCGTCGTCATCGTCGTCATCATCGTCATCATCATCATCATCGTCGTCGTCATCGTCGTCATCATCGTCATCATCGCCGCCATCGTCATCGCGTGGAAATTCACGGGGGCGGCCCAAATACACTGAAACGCGCGGTGGTGACGTCGATTCAGAACGCGGAGGGGCAGAGATCCGAAGGACCCCGAGAGGAATCCACGCGACCACACGGAGAGAGAGCGAGAGACGCAGACTCCAAATCTACAGCAGCGGCAGGCGTCGTCAGGGTAGGGATCGAACCCACGAGCTCCTGCGTACCGGGCGAGGTAGCCAACATCTCCTAGCCACCGTGGTGATGATGATGAGAGAGAGAGAGACACGCAGACTCCAAATCTACAGCAGCGGCAGGCGTCGCCAGGGTGGGTGATCGAACCCACGAGCTCCTGCGTACCCGGCGAGGTAGTTAACATCTCATAGCCACCGTGATGACGATGAGAGAGAGACGCAGACTCCAAATCTACAGAGGCAGGCGTCGCCAGGGTGGGTGATCGAACCCACGAGCTCCTGTAGTACCAGGCGAGGTAGTCAACATCTCATAGCCACCGTGGTGGTGATGATGAGACAGAGACGCAGACTCCAAATCTACAGCAGCGGCAGGCGTCGTCAGGGTAGGGATCGAACCCACGAGCTCCTGCGTACCCGGCGAGGTAGTCAACATCTCATAGCCACCGTGATGATGATGATGAGAGAGAGACGCAGACTCCAAATCTACAGCGGCAGGCATCGTCAGGGTGGGTGATCGAACCCACGAGCTCCTGCGTACCCGGCGAGGTAGTCAACATCTCCTAGCCACCGTGATGATGATAGAGAGACGCAGACTCCAAATATACAGAGGCAGGCGTCGTCAGGGTAGGGATCGAACCCACGAGCTCCTGTAGTACCAGGCAAGGTAGTCAACATCTCATAGCCACCGTGGTGATGATGATGATGAGAGACACAGACCTCCTGTATACCCGGCGAGGTAGTCAACATCTCCTAGCCACCGTGATGATGATGAGAGAGAGAGAGAGACGCAGACTCCAAATCTACAGCGGCAGGCGTCGTCAGGGTGGGGATCGAACCCACGAGCTCCTGCGTACCAGGCGAGGTAGTCAACATCTCATAGCCACCGTGATGATGATGATGAGAGGGACACCGCTGGCGGCTTGAGGCTCTCCGTGTGCCACGTCTCGCGCGTCCCACTCGGCTCAGCGGAACGCGCCCAGAGATGTCAAAGATGCGCTCCGACTGTTCCACCCCCACACGTCCAACTGGTTGTTGTTGTTGGTTGTTGGTTGTTGTTGATGCTTTGCTGAGCTGATTAATATATTTCTCTCCCGTTGGAGGACCACGGAATTTTTTCTCGCGTCCGTTAATTTTTTTTTGCTGTCGAGAAACGCAGGTGGGGCCTAGGGGTTTGCCGTGATGTGTATGGTGTGTGTTGTTGTGTCACGTGATGTATGGTGTGTGTTGTGTCACGTGATGTGTATGGTGTGTGTTGTTGTGTCACGTGATGTGTATGGTGTGTGTTGTCACGTGATGTGTATGGTGTGTGTTGTGTCACGTGATGTGTATGGTGTGTGTTGTGTCACGTGATGTGTATGGTGTGTGTTGTGTCACGTGATGTGTATGGTGTGTGTGTTGTGTCACGTGATGTGTATGGTGTTTGTTGTGTCACGTGATGTGTATGGTGTGTGTGTTGTGTCACGTGATGTGTATGGTGTTTGTTGTGTCACGTGATGTGTATGGTGTTTGTTGTGTCACGTGATGTGTATGGTGTGTGTTGTCACGTGATGTGTATAGTGTGTGTTGTGTCACGTGATGTGTATGGTGTGTGTTGTTGTGTCACGTGATGTGTATGGTGTTTGTTGTGTCACGTGATGTGTATGGTGTGTGTTGTCACGTGATGTGTATGGTGTGTGTTGTGTCACGTGATGTGTATGGTGTGTGTTGTGTCACGTGATGTGTATGGTGTGTGTTGTTGTGTCACGTGATGTGTATGGTGTGTTGTTGTGTCACGTGATGTGTATGGTGTTTGTTGTGTCACGTGATGTGTATGGTGTGTGTTGTCACGTGATGTGTATGGTGTGTGTTGTTGTGTCACGTGATGTGTATGGTGTGTGTTGTTGTGTCACGTGATGTGTATGGTGTGTGTTGTTGTGTCACGTGATGTGTATGGTGTGTGTTGTTGTGTCACGTGATGTGTATGGTGTGTGTTGTTGTGTCACGTGATGTGTATGGTGTGTGTTGTGTCACGTGATGTGTATGGTGTGTGTTGTTGTGTCACGTGATGTGTATGGTGTGTGTTGTTGTGTCACGTGATGTGTATGGTGTGTGTTGTTGTGTCACGTGATGTGTATGGTGTGTGTTGTTGTGTCACGTGCTGTGTATGGTGTGTGTTGTTGTGTCACGTGATGTGTATGGTGTGTGTTGTCACGTGATGTGTATGGTGTGTGTTGTGTCACGTGATGTGTATGGTGTGTGTTGTGTCACGTGATGTGTATGGTGTGTGTTGTGTCTCGTGATGTGTATGGTGTGTGTTGTGTCACGTGATGTGTATGGTGTGTGTGTTGTGTCACGTGATGTGTATGGTGTTTGTTGTGTCACGTGATGTGTATGGTGTTTGTTGTGTCACGTGATGTGTATGGTGTGTGTTGTCACGTGATGTGTATAGTGTGTGTTGTGTCACGTGATGTGTATGGTGTGTGTTGTCACGTGATGTGTATGGTGTGTGTTGTGTCACGTGATGTGTATGGTGTGTGTTGTTGTCACGTGATGTGTATGGTGTGTGTTGTGTCACGTGATGTGTATGGTGTGTGTTGTTGTGTCACGTGATGTGTATGGTGTGTGTTGTCACGTGATGTGTATGGTGTGTGTTGTGTCACGTGATGTGTATGGTGTGTGTTGTGTCACGTGCTGTGTATGGTGTGTGTTGTTGTGTCACGTGATGTGTATGGTGTGTGTTGTGTCACGTGATGTGTATGGTGTGTGTTGTGTCACGTGATGTGTATGGTGTGTGTTGTCACGTGATGTGTATGGTGTGTGTTGTGTCACGTGATGTGTATGGTGTGTTGTGTCACGTGATGTGTATGGTGTGTGTTGTGTCACGTGCTGTGTATGGTGTGTGTTGTTGTGTCACGTGATGTGTATGGTGTGTGTTGTGTCACGTGATGTGTATGGTGTGTGTTGTGTCACGTGCTGTGTATGGTGTGTGTTGTGTCACGTGATGTGTATGGTGCGTGTTGTGTCACGTGATGTGTATGGTGTGTGTTGTGTCACGTGATGTAGTATCTGTATGGTGTGTGTTGTTATCACGTGATGTAGTATCTGCATGGTGTGTGTTGTTATCACGTGATGTAGTATCTGCATGGTGTGTGTTGTTATCACGTGATGTAGTATCTGTATGGTGTGTGTGTTATCACGTGATGTAGTATCTGCATGGTGTGTGTTGTGTCACGTGATGTAGTGTCTATGACGGTAGAGGCTGCACCATATGTCCGTTGAAGGTGATGTAGAGGTCCGAATCGTCGCCAAATATCGCGTTCGGTCGGTCGCCATCGTGAAGTCTCACCCACAGCTGTGGAACACGTGAGCACACACACACACCGCACGTACACACACACACACCGCACGTACACACAGTGAGCAACACGTACACACACACCGCACGTACACACACACAGTGAGCACACACACACCGCAAGTACACACAGTGAGCAACACGTACACACACACCGCACGTACACACACACACCGCACGTACACAGTGAGCAATACACACACACACCGCACGTACACACAGTGAGCAACACGTACACACACACCGCACGTACACACACACACCGCACGTACACAGTGAGCAATACACACACACACCGCACATACACACACACCGCACGTACACACAGTGAGCAACACGTACACACACACCGCACGTACACACACCGCACGTACACACACCGCACGTACACACACACACCGCACGTACACACAGTGAGCAACACACACACACAGTGAGCAACACACACCGCACGTACACAGTGAGCAACACGTACACACCGCACGTACACACACACACACAGTGAGCACACACACACCACACGTACACACAGTGAGCAACACACACACACCACACATACACACACACCGCCCGTACACACAGTGAGCAACACGTACACACAGTGAGCAACACGCACACACACACCACACATACACACACGCCGCACGTACACACAGTGAGCAACACACACACACACCGCGGGTACACACACACCAGTGCCACTCGCCCCTCATCACCCACCACTCACCACTCATCCACCACTTACTCACCCACCACTCGCCCACCACTCACCCAACACTCACTCACTCACCACTCACCCACCACTCATCCACTCACGCACCCACTCACTCACCCACCACTCACCGCGCACTCACCCACCACTCACCACCCACCACTAACCCACTCACCCACTCACCACTCACCCACCTCTCGCCCACCACTCACCCACCACTCACTCACCCACCACTCACCCACCACTCACCCACCACTCACCGCTCACTCACCCACCACTCACTCACTCACCCACCACTCACTCACTCACTCACCCACCACTCACTCACCCACCACTCACTCACTCACCCACCACTCACTCACCCACTCACTCACCACTCACCCACCACTCACCGCTCACTCACCCACCACTCACTCACTCACCACTCACCCACTCACCACCCACCACCACCCACCACCACCCACCACTCACCCACCACTCACTCACTCACCACTCACCCACCACTCACTCACTCACCACTCACCCACTCACCACTCACCCACCAGTCACTCACCACTCACCCACCACTCACTCACTCACCACTCAACCACCACTCACCCACCACTCACCACTCACTCACCCACCACTCACCCACCACTCACCCACTCACTCACCACCCACCACCACCTACCACTCACCCACCACTCACCACTCACTCACCCACCACTCACCCACCACTCACTCACCACCCACCACTCACCCACCACTCACCCACCACTCACTCACCACCCACCACTCACCCACCACTCACCCACCACTCACCTACCACTCACCCACCACTCACTCACCACCCACTCACTCACCACCCACCACCACTCACTCACTCACTCACCACCCACCACCACTCACCCACCACTCACCCACCACTCAGCCACCACTCAGCCACCACTCACCACCCACTCACCCACTCATCACCCACCACCACCCACTCACCACCCACCACTCACCCACCACTCACCACCCACTCACCACCCACTCACTCACCACTCACCACCCACCACCACCCACTCACCCACCACCCACTCACCCACCCACTCACCACTCACCACCCACTCACCACCACCCACTCACCACCCACCCACTCGCCACCCACCACTCACCCACCACTCACCACCCACTCACTCACCACTCACTCACCACCCACCACTCACCACCCACCACCACCCGCTCACCCACCACCCACTCACCCACTCACCACCCACTCACCACCCACCACCACCCACCACTCACCACCCATTCACCCACCACCCATTCACCCACTCACCACTCACCACCCACCATCCACCACCCACCACCACTCACCCACCCACCCACCACCCACTCACTCACCCACCTACCCACTCACCACCCACCCACTCACCACCCACCCACCACTCACCTACCCACCCACTCACCCACCCACTCACCCACCACTCACCCACCACTCACTCACCACCCACCACTCACCCACCACTCACCCACTCACCACCCACTCCCCCACTCACTCACCACCCACCCACTCACCACCCACCACTTACCCACCACTCACCACCCACTCACCACCCACCCACTCACTCACCACTCACCACCCACCACTCACCACCCACTCACCCACCACTCACCACCCACTCACCCACCACTCACCACTCACCCACCACTCACCACCCACTCACCACCACCCACTCACCACCCACCACCACCCGCTCACCCACCACCCACTCACCCACTCACCCACTCACCACCCACTCACCACACCCCACCACCCACCACTCACCACCCACCATCCACCACCCACCACCACTCACCCACCCACCCACCCACCACCCACTCACTCACTCACCCACCCACCCACTCACCACCCACCCACCCACTCACCACCCACCCACCGCTCACCTACCCACCCACTCACCCACCACTCACCCACCACTCACCACCCACTCCCCCACTCACTCACCACTCACCCACTCACCCACCACTCACCCACCACTCACCACCCACTCCCCCACTCACTCACCACTCACCCACTCACCCACTCACCCACCCACCCACTCACCCACCCACCCACTCACCCACTCACCCACCCACTCACCCACCCACTCACCCACCCACCCACCACCCACCCACCCACTCACTCACCCACCCACCCACCCACTCACCCACCCACCCACTCACCCACCCACTCACCCACCACTCACCCACCCACTCACCCACCCACTCACTCACTCACCCACCCACCCACCCACTCACCCACTCACCCACCCACCCACCCACTCACCCGGTCTCCCACTTGCAGGGGCAGCAGCAGGCTCTGGCTCTGCATGACGCTGCGCCCGCTGGGCTGAGCGTAGAGAACGGCCGTGGGGTTCCCGTTCCGCATGACGTGCGCGTACGTCTCGCGCGCGTTCCACGTGTGCACCGTGAGGCTCACGTGGTAGACGCCGGCCTCGGCGCACGTGAAGGCGCCCGCAGCGAGGTCCACGCTGCCCCCGACGGCCACGGCGGCCGAGTCGAAGGGCAGCGGCGACGCTGCCGAGCCGTTGGCCGAGTGGAGCGGGGAGCGTCGGCCCAGCGAGAAGGCGGCGCGGCGGGGCCTGGGGGGGGTGGGGTGGGGGGGGGGGGGGTGGGGAGGGTGGGGAGGGGGTTTGTTTGTGTGGTGGGTGAGGTGAGTGGGTGGACGGATGGGTGGGTGAGTGGGTGGGTGGGTGATTGAATGGGCGAGAGGGTGGGTGGGTGGGTAAGTGGGTGAGTGGGTGGGTGGGTGGGTAAGTGGGTGGGTGGGTGGGGGGGTGGGTAAGTGGGTGGGTGGGTGGGTGGACGGGTGGGTGATTGAATGGGTGAGAGGGTGAATCATTGAGTAGGTAGATGGGTGGGTGGGTGAGTGAACGGGTTGGTGGGTGGGTGGGTGGACGGGTGGGTGAGTAGGTGGGTGGGTGAGTGGGTGGGTAAGTGGGTGGGTGGGTGGGGGGGGGTTGGGTGAGTGGGTGAGTGGGTGGGGGGGGGTGGGTAAGTGGGTGGGTAAGTGGGTGGGTGGTTGGGTGAGTGGGTGGGGGGGGTGAGTGGGTGGGGGGGTGAGTGGGTGGGTGGGTAAGTGGGTGGGTGAGTGGGTGGGTAAGTGGGTGGGTGGGTGGGAGAGTGGGTAGGTGGGTGATTGAATGGGTGAGAGGGTGGGTGGGTGATTGAATGGGTGAGAGGGTGAATCATTGAGTAGGTAGGTGGGTGGGTGAGTGAACAGGTTGGTGGGTGGGTGGGTGAGTGGGTGGGTGGGTGAGTGGGTGGATGAACGGGTGGGTGATTGAATGGGTGAGAGGGTGAATCATTGAGTAGGTAGGTGGGTGGGTGAGTGAACAGGTTGGTGGGTGGGTGAGTGGGTGGGTGAGTGGGTGAATCATTGAGTAGGTAGGTGGGTGGGTGGGTGAGTGAACAGGTTGGTGGGTGGGTGGACGGGTGGGTGGGTGAGTGGACGGGTGGGTGGACGGGTGGGTGGGTGAGTGGACGGGTGGGTGGGTGGGTGGGCGGGTGGGTGGGTGAGTGGGTGGGTGGACGGGTGGGTGATTGAATGGGTGAGAGGGTGAATCATGGAATAGGTGGGTGGGTGGGTGAGTGAACAGGTTGGTGGGTGGGTGGGTGAGTGGACGGGTGGGTGGGTGGGTGAGTGGGTGGATGAACGGGTGGGTGATGAATGGGTGAGAGGGTGATTCATTGAGTAGGTAGGTGGGTGGGTGAGTGAACAGGTTGGTGGGTGGGTGAGTGGGTGGGTGATTGAATGGGTGAGAGGGTGAATAATTGAGTAGGTAGGTGGGTGGGTGAGTGCACAGGTTGGTGGGTGGGTGAGTGAGTGGGTGGGTGAGTGGGTGATTGAATGGGTGAGAGGGTGAATCATTGAGTAGGTAGGTGGGTAGGTGAGTGAACAGGTTGGTGGGTGGGTGGGAGAGTGGGTGGATGAGTGGGTGATTGAGTGGGTGATTGAATGGGTGAGAGGGTGAATCATGGAATAGGTGGGTGGGTCGGTGAGTGAACAGGTTGGTGGGTGGGTGGGTGAGTGGAGGGGTGGGTGGGTGAGTGGGTGGATAAACGGGTGGGTGATTGAATGGGTGAGAGGGTGAATAATTGAGTAGGTAGGTGGGTGGGTGAGTGCACAGGTTGGTGGGTGGGTGAGTGAGTGGGTGGGTGAGTGGGTGATTGAATGGGTGAGAGGGTGAATCATTGAGTAGGTAGGTGGGTAGGTGAGTGAACAGGTTGGTGGGTGGGTGGGAGAGTGGGTGGATGAGTGGGTGATTGAGTGGGTGATTGAATGGGTGAGAGGGTGAATCATGGAATAGGTGGGTGGGTCGGTGAGTGAACAGGTTGGTGGGTGGGTGGGTGAGTGGAGGGGTGGGTGGGTGAGTGGGTGGATAAACGGGTGGGTGATTGAATGGGTGAGAGGGTGAATCATTGAGTAGGTAGGTGGGTGGGTGAGTGAACAGGTTGGTGGGTGGGTGAGTGAACAGGTTGGTGGGTGGGTGGGTGAGTGGGTGGGTGATTGAATGGGTGAGAGGGTGAATCATTGAGTAGGTAGGTGGGTGGGTGAGTGAACAGGTTGGTGGGTGGGTGGGGGGGTGGGTGGGTGAGTGGACGGGTGGGTGGGTGGGCGGGTGGGTGGGTGAGTGGGTGGGTGGACGGGTGGGTGATTGAATGGGTGAGAGGGTGGGTGAGTGAACAGGTTGGTGGGTGGGTGGGTGAGTGGACGGGTGGGTGGGTGGGTGAGTGGGTGGATGAACGGGTGGGTGATGAATGGGTGAGAGGGTGATTCATTGAGTAGGTAGGTGGGTGGGTGAGTGAACAGGTTGGTGGGTGGGTGGGTGAGTGGGTGGGTGATTGAATGGGTGAGAGGGTGAATCATTGAGTAGGTAGGTGGGTGGGTGAGTGCACAGGTTGGTGGGTGGGTGAGTGAGTGGGTGGGTGAGTGGGTGATTGAATGGGTGAGAGGGTGAATCATTGAGTAGGTGGGTGGGTGGGTGAGTGAACAGGTTGGTGGGTGGGTGGACGGGTGGGTGGGTGAGTGGACGGGTGGGTGGGTGGGCGGGTGGGTGGGTGAGTGGGTGGGTGGACGGGTGGGTGATTGAATGGGTGAGAGGGTGAATCATGGAATAGGTGGGTGGGTGGGTGAGTGAACAGGTTGGTGGGTGGGTGGGTGAGTGGACGGGTGGGTGGGTGGGTGAGTGGGTGGATGAACGGGTGGGTGATGAATGGGTGAGAGGGTGATTCATTGAGTAGGTAGGTGGGTGGGTGAGTGAACAGGTTGGTGGGTGGGTGGGTGAGTGGGTGGGTGATTGAATGGGTGAGAGGGTGAATCATTGAGTAGGTAGGTGGGTGGGTGAGTGCACAGGTTGGTGGGTGGGTGAGTGAGTGGGTGGGTGAGTGGGTGATTGAATGGGTGAGAGGGTGAATCATTGAGTAGGTAGGTGGGTAGGTGAGTGAACAGGTTGGTGGGTGGGTGGGACAGTGGGTGGATGAGTGGGTGATTGAATGGGTGAGAGGGTGAATCATGGAATAGGTGGGTGGGTGGGTGAGTGAACAGGTTGGTGGGTGGGTGGGTGAGTGGACGGGTGGGTGGGTGGGTGAGTGGGTGGATGAACGGGTGGGTGATGAATGGGTGAGAGGGTGATTCATTGAGTAGGTAGGTGGGTGGGTGAGTGAACAGGTTGGTGGGTGGGTGAGTGGGTGGGTGATTGAATGGGTGAGAGGGTGAATAATTGAGTAGGTAGGGGGGTGGGTGAGTGCACAGGTTGGTGGGTGGGTGAGTGAGTGGGTGGGTGAGTGGGTGATTGAATGGGTGAGAGGGTGAATCATTGAGTAGGTAGGTGGGTAGGTGAGTGAACAGGTTGGTGGGTGGGTGGGAGAGTGGGTGGATGAGTGGGTGATTGAATGGGTGAGAGGGTGAATCATGGAATAGGTGGGTGGGTCGGTGAGTGAACAGGTTGGTGGGTGGGTGGGTGAGTGGAGGGGTGGGTGGGTGAGTGGGTGGATAAACGGGTGGGTGATTGAATGGGTGAGAGGGTGAATCATTGAGTAGGTAGGTGGGTGGGTGAGTGAACAGGTTGGTGGGTGGGTGAGTGAACAGGTTGGTGGGTGGGTGGGTGAGTGGGTGGGTGAGTGGGTGATTGAATGGGTGAGAGGGTGAATCATTGAGTAGGTAGGTGGGTGGGTGAGTGAACAGGTTGGTGGGTGGGTGGACGGGTGGGTGGGTGAGTGGACGGGTGGGTGGGTGGGCGGGTGGGTGGGTGAGTGGGTGGGTGGACGGGTGGGTGATTGAATGGGTGAGAGGGTGGGTGAGTGAACAGGTTGGTGGGTGGGTGGGTGAGTGGAGGGGTGGGTGGGTGGGTGAGTGGGTGGATGAACGGGTGGGTGATGAATGGGTGAGAGGGTGATTCATTGAGTAGGTAGGTGGGTGGGTGAGTGAACAGGTTGGTGGGTGGGTGGGTGAGTGGGTGGGTGATTGAATGGGTGAGAGGGTGAATCATTGAGTAGGTCGGTGGGTGGGTGAGTGCACAGGTTGGTGGGTGGGTGAGTGAGTGGGTGGGTGAGTGGGTGATTGAATGGGTGAGAGGGTGAATCATTGAGTAGGTGGGTGGGTGGGTGAGTGAACAGGTTGGTGGGTGGGTGGAAGGGTGGGTGGGTGAGTGGACGGGTGGGTGGGTGGGCGGGTGGGTGGGTGAGTGGGTGGGTGGACGGGTGGGTGATTGAATGGGTGAGAGGGTGAATCATGGAATAGGTGGGTGGGTGGGTGAGTGAACAGGTTGGTGGGTGGGTGGGTGAGTGGACGGGTGGGTGGGTGGGTGAGTGGGTGGATGAACGGGTGGGTGATGAATGGGTGAGAGGGTGATTCATTGAGTAGGTAGGTGGGTGGGTGAGTGAACAGGTTGGTGGGTGGGTGGGTGAGTGGGTGGGTGATTGAATGGGTGAGAGGGTGAATCATTGAGTAGGTAGGTGGGTGGGTGAGTGCACAGGTTGGTGGGTGGGTGAGTGAGTGGGTGGGTGAGTGGGTGATTGAATGGGTGAGAGGGTGAATCATTGAGTAGGTAGGTGGGTAGGTGAGTGAACAGGTTGGTGGGTGGGTGGGACAGTGGGTGGATGAGTGGGTGATTGAATGGGTGAGAGGGTGAATCATGGAATAGGTGGGTGGGTCGGTGAGTGAACAGGTTGGTGGGTGGGTGGGTGAGTGGAGGGATGGGTGGGTGGGTGAGTGGGTGGATAAACGGGTGGGTGATTGAATGGGTGAGAGGGTGATTCATTGAGTAGGTAGGTGGGTGGGTGAGTGAACAGGTTGGTGGGTGGGTGAGTGGGTGGGTGAGTGGGTGATTGAATGGGAGAGAGGGTGAATCATTGAGTAGGTAGGTGGGTGGGTGAGTGAACAGATTGGTGGGTGGGTGAGTGAGTGGGTGGGTGAGTGGGTGATTGAATGGGTGAGAGGGTGAATCATTGAGTAGGTAGATGGGTGGGTGAGTGAACAGGTTGGTAGGTGGGTGGACGGGTGGGTGGGTGGGTGGACGGGTGGGTGGGCGGGTGGGTGGGTGAGTGGGTGGGTGGACGGGTGGGTGATTGAATGGGTGAGAGGGTGAATCATGGAATAGGTGGGTGGGTGGGTGAGTGAACAGGTTGGTGGGTGGGTGAGTGGACGGGTGGGTGAGTGGGTGGATGAACCGGTGGGTGATGGAATGGGTGAGAGGGTGATTCATTGAGTAGGTAGGTGGGTGGGTGAGTGAACAGGTTGGTGGGTGGGTGGGTGAGTGGGTGATTGAATGGGTGAGAGGGTGAATCATTGAGTAGGTAGGTGGGTGGGTGAGTGAACAGGTTGGTGGGTTGGTGAGTGAGTGGGTGAGTGGGTGATTGAATGGGTGAGAGGGTGAATCATTGAGTAGGTAGGTGGGTGGGTGAGTGAACAGGTTGGTGGGTGAGTGGACGGGTGGGTGGGTGGGTGAGTGGGTGGGTGGATGGGTGGGTGATTGAATGGGTGAGAGGGTGAATCATTGAGTAGGTAGGTGGGTGTGTGAGTGAACAGGTTGGTGGGTGGGTGGGTGAGTGGGTGGGTGAGGGGGTGATTGAATGGGTGAGAGGGTGAATCATTGAGTAGGTAAGTGGGTGGGTGAGTGAACAGGTTGGTGGGTGGGTGGACGGGTGGGTGGGTGAGTGGACGGGTGGGTGGGTGGGTGGGTGAGTGGGTGGGTGGACGGGTGGGTGATTGAATGGGTGAGAGGGTGAATCATTGAGTAGGTAGGTGGGTGGCTGAGTGAACAGGTTGGTGGGTGGGTGAGTGGGTGAGTGGATGGGTGAGTGAGTGGGTGGGTGAGTGGGTGAGAGGGTGAATCATTGAGTAGGTGGGTGGATGAGTGAACAGGTTGGTGGGTGGGTGAGTGGACGGGTGGGTGGATGGGTGAGTGGGTGGGTGGACGGGTGGGTGATTGAATGGGTGAGAGGGTGAATCATTGAGTAGGTAGGTGGGTGGGTGAGTGAACAGGTTGGTGGGTGGGTGGACGGGTGGGTGGGTGAGTGGACGGGTGGGTGGGTGGGTGAGTGGGTGGGTGGGTGGATGGGTGGGTGATTGAATGGGTGAGAGGGTGAATCATTGAGTAGGTAGGTGGGTGTGTGAGTGAACAGGTTGGTGGGTGGGTGAGTGGGTGGGTGAGGGGGTGATTGAATGGGTGAGAGGGTGAATCATTGAGTAGGTAAGTGGGTGGTTGAGTGAACAGGTTGGTGGGTGGGTGGACGGGTGGGTGGGTGGGTGAGTGGGTGGATGAACGGGTGGGTGATGAATGGGTGAGAGGGTGATTCATTGAGTAGGTAGGTGGGTGGGTGAGTGAACAGGTTGGTGGGTGGGTGGGTGAGTGGGTGGGTGATTGAATGGGTGAGAGGGTGAATCATTGAGTAGGTAGGTGGGTGGGTGAGTGCACAGGTTGGTGGGTGGGTGAGTGAGTGGGTGGGTGAGTGGGTGATTGAATGGGTGAGAGGGTGAATCATTGAGTAGGTAGGTGGGTGGGTGGGTGAGTGAACAGGTTGGTGGGTGGGTGGACGGGTGGGTGGGTGAGTGGACGGGTGGGTGGGTGGGCGGGTGGGTGGGTGAGTGGGTGGGTGGACGGGTGGGTGATTGAATGGGTGAGAGGGTGAATCATGGAATAGGTGGGTGGGTGGGTGAGTGAACAGGTTGGTGGGTGGGTGGGTGAGTGGACGGGTGGGTGGGTGGGTGAGTGGGTGGATGAACGGGTGGGTGATGAATGGGTGAGAGGGTGATTCATTGAGTAGGTAGGTGGGTGGGTGAGTGAACAGGTTGGTGGGTGGGTGGGTGAGTGGGTGGGTGATTGAATGGGTGAGAGGGTGAATCATTGAGTAGGTAGGTGGGTGGGTGAGTGCACAGGTTGGTGGGTGGGTGAGTGAGTGGGTGGGTGAGTGGGTGATTGAATGGGTGAGAGGGTGAATCATTGAGTAGGTAGGTGGGTAGGTGAGTGAACAGGTTGATGGGTGGGTGGGACAGTGGGTGGATGAGTGGGTGATTGAATGGGTGAGAGGGTGAATCATGGAATAGGTGGGTGGGTCGGTGAGTGAACAGGTTGGTGGGTGGGTGGGTGGGTGAGTGGAGGGATGGGTGGGTGGGTTAGTGGGTGGATAAACGGGTGGGTGATTGAATGGGTGAGAGGGTGATTCATTGAGTAGGTAGGTGGGTGGGTGAGTGAACAGGTTGGTGGGTGGGTGAGTGGGTGGGTGAGTGGGTGATTGAATGGGAGAGAGGGTGAATCATTGAGTAGGTAGGTGGGTGGGTGAGTGAGTGGGTGGGTGGGTGAGTGAGTGGGTGGGTGAGTGGGTGATTGAATGGGTGAGAGGGTGAATCATTGAGTAGGTAGGTGGGTGGGTGAGTGAACAGGTTGGTAGGTGGGTGGACGGGTGGGTGGGTGGGTGGACGGGTGGGTGGGCGGGTGGGTGGGTGAGTGGGTGGGTGGACGGGTGGGTGATTGAATGGGTGAGAGGGTGAATCATGGAATAGGTGGGTGGGTGGGTGAGTGAACAGGTTGGTGGGTGGGTGAGTGGACGGGTGGGTGAGTGGGTGGATGAACCGGTGGGTGATTGAATGGGTGAGAGGGTGATTCATTGAGTAGGTAGGTGGGTGGGTGAGTGAACAGGTTGGTGGGTGGGTGGGTGAGTGGGTGATTGAATGGGTGAGAGGGTGAATCATTGAGTAGGTAGGTGGGTGGGTGAGTGAACAGGTTGGTGGGTGGGTGAGTGAGTGGGTGAGTGGGTGATTGAATGGGTGAGAGGGTGAATCATTGAGTAGGTAGGTGGGTGGGTGAGTGAACAGGTTGGTGGGTGGGTGGACGGGTGGGTGGGTGAGTGGACGGGTGGGTGGGTGGGTGAGTGGGTGGGTGGATGGGTGGGTGATTGAATGGGTGAGAGGGTGAATCATTGAGTAGGTAGGTGGGTGTGTGAGTGAACAGGTTGGTGGGTGGGTGGGTGAGTGGGTGGGTGAGGGGGTGATTGAATGGGTGAGAGGGTGAATCATTGAGTAGGTAAGTGGGTGGGTGAGTGAACAGGTTGGTGGGTGGGTGGACGGGTGGGTGGGTGAGTGGACGGGTGGGTGGGTGGGTGGGTGAGTGGGTGGGTGGACGGGTGGGTGATTGAATGGGTGAGAGGGTGAATCATTGAGTAGGTAGGTGGGTGGCTGAGTGAACAGGTTGGTGGGTGGGTGAGTGGGTGAGTGGGTGGGTGAGTGAGTGGGTGGGTGAGTGGGTGAGAGGGTGAATCATTGAGTAGGTGGGTGGATGAGTGAACAGGTTGGTGGGTGGGTGAGTGGATGGGTGGGTGGATGGGTGAGTGGGTGGGTGGACGGGTGGGTGATTGAATGGGTGAGAGGGTGAATCATTGAGTAGGTAGGTGGGTGGGTGAGTGAACAGGTTAGTGCGTGGGTGGACGGGTGGGTGGGTGGGCGAGTGGGTGGGTGGGTGAGTGGGTGGGTGGACGGGTGGGTGGGTGAGTGGGTGGGTGGACAGGTGGGTGATCGAATGGGTGAGAGGGTGAATGATTGAATAGGTGGGTGGGTGAGTGAACGGGTTGGTGGGTGGGTGGGTGGACGGGTGGGTGGGTGAGTGGACGAGTGGGTGGGTGAGTGGGTGGGTTGACGGGTGGGTGATTGAATGGGTGAGAGGGTGAATCATTGAGTAGGTGGGTGGGTGAGTGAACGAGCGAATTAGTCAACGGGTGGGTGAGTGAACGAGTGAGTCAGTGAACGGGTGGGTGAGTAAACGAGTGAGTCAGTGAACGGGTGGGTGAGTGAACGAGTGAGTCAGTGAACGGGTGGGTGAGTGAACGAGTGAGTCAGTGCACGGGTGGGTGAGTGAACGAGTGAGTCAGTGAACGGGTGGGTGAGTGAACGAGTGAGTCAGTGAACGCGTGGGTGAGTGAACGAGTGAGTCAGTCAACGGATGGGTGAGTGAACAAGTGAATCAGTGAACGGGTGGGTGAGTGAACGAGTGAGTCAGTGAACGGGTGGTTGAGTGAACGAGTGAGTCAGTGAACGGGTGGGTGAGTGAACGAGCGAGCCAGTCAACGGGTGGGTGAATGAAGGATTGAGTCAGTGAACGGGTGGGTGAGTGAACGAGTGAGTCAGTGAACGGGTGGGTGAGTGAACGAGTGAGTCAGTCAACGGGTGGGTGAGTGAACGAGTGAGTCAGTGAACGGGTGGGTGAGTGAATGAGTGAGTTAGTGTACGGGTGGGTGAGTGAACGAGTGAGTCAGTGAACGAGTGAGTCAGTGAGCGGGTGGGTGAGTGAACAAGTGAGTCAGTGAACGGGTGGTGAGTGAAGGAGTGAGTCAGTGAACGGGTGGGTGAGTGAAGGAGTGAGTCAGTGAACGGGTGGGTGAGTGAAGGATCGAGTGGTTGGGTGGCTGGGGGGTCTCTCACTTGCAGGGCATCCCGGGGGGTCCCGGCTCGCCGCGATTCCCCTTGGCTCCGATGTGACCCCTGACCCCGGTCCGGCCGGGAGGACCCCTGCGGCCCCCCACTCCGTGCTTGCCCTTCTCGCCCACGTCGCCTGTGGCACGCACGGGACAGACACACGGCACCGGTGCCCCACAGTAGTACGGTACAACCTACCAGACCCAACTGCCCACCCACTCATCCACCCATTCACTCATTCATCCACCCACTCATCCACCCACTGATCCACCCACTGATCCACCCACTGATCCACCCACTCACTCATCCACCCACTCATCCACCCACTCATCCACCCACTCACTCACTCATCCACCCACTGATCCACCCACTCATCCACCCACTGATCCACCCACTCACTCATCCACCCACTCATTCACTCATCCACCCACTGATCCACCCACTCACTCACTCATCCACCCACTCACTCATCCACCCACTGATCCACCCACTCATCCACCCACTGATCCACCCACTCACTCATCCACACACTCACTCATCCACCCACTGATCCACCCACCCACTCACTCATCCACCCACTGATCCAATCATCCACCCAACCACTCACTCACCCATCCACCCACTCATCCACCCACTCACTCACTCATCCACTCACTCACTCATCCACCCACTCACCCATCCACCCACTGATCCACCCACTCACTCATCCACCCAACCACTCACTCACCCATCCACCCACTGATCCACCCACTCATCCACCCACTGATCCACCCACTCACTCATCCACCCACTCACTCATCCACCCACTCATTCACTCATCCACCCACTGATCCACCCACTCACTCACTCATCCACCCACTCACTCATCCACCCACTGATCCACCCACTCACTCATCCACCCACTCACTCATCCACCCACTGATCCACCCACTCACTCATCCACCCACTGATCCACTCATCCACCCAACCACTCACTCACTCATCCACCCACTCATCCACCCACTCACTCACTCATCCACCCACTCACCCATCCACCCACTGATCCACCCACTCACTCATCCACCGAACCACTCACTCACCCATCCACCCACTCATCCACCCACTCACTCACTCATCCACCCACTCACCCATCCACCCATTGACCCAACCACTCACTCACCCATCCACCCACTTCATCCATCCACTCACTCAATTACCCAATCACTCACCCACCCACCCGCCCGCCCACCTGTTCTTCACGTTCTGCAGATGTAGATGCCACTGGTTCTTCACGTTCTACAGATGTAGATGCCACTGGTTGTTCACGTTCTGCAGGTGTAGATGCCACTGGTTGTTCACGTTCTGCAGATGTAGATGCCACTGGTTGTTCACGTTCTGCAGATGTAGATGCCACTGGTTCTTTACATTCTGCAGATGCAGATGCCACTGGTTCTTCACGTTCTGCAGATGTAGATGCCACTGGTTCTTCACGTTCTACAGATGTAGATGCCACTGGTTCTTCACGTTCTGCAGATGTAGATGCCACTGGTTGTTCACGTTCTGCAGGTGTAGATGCCACTGGTTGTTCACGTTCTGCAGATGTAGATGCCACTGGTTCTTTACGTTCTGCAGATGCAGATGCCACTGGTTCTTCACGTTCTGCAGATGTAGATGCCACTGGTTCTTCACGTTCTGCAGATGTAGATGCCAATGGTTCTTCACGTTCTGTAGATGTAGATGCCACTGGTTCTTCACGTTCTGCAGATGTAGATGCCAATGGTTCTTCACGTTCTGTAGATGTAGATGCCAATTGTTCTTCACGTTCTGCAGATGTAGATGCCACTGGTTGTTCACGTTCTGCAGATGTAGATGCCACTGGTTCTTTACGTTCTGCAGATGCAGATGCCACTGGTTCTTCACGTTCTGCAGATGTAGATGCCACTGGTTCTTCACGTTCTGCAGATGTAGATGCCAATGGTTCTTCACGTTCTGTAGATGTAGATGCCACTGGTTCTTCACGTTCTGCAGATTTAGATGCCAATGGTTCTTCACGTTATGTAGATGTAGATGCCAATGGTTCTTCACGTTCTGCAGATGTAGATGCCACTGGTTCTTCACGTTCTGTATATGTAGATGCCACTGGTTCTTCACGTTCTGCAGATGTAGATGCCACTTTTTCTTCACATTCTGCAAATGTATATGCCAATGGTTCTTCACGTTCTGCAGATGTAGATGCCAATTGTTCTTCACGTTCTGCAGATGTAGATTCCACTGGTTCTTGACGTTCTGCAGATGTAGATGCCACTGGTTCTTCAGGTTCTGCAGATGTAGATGCCAATTGTTCTTCACGTTCTGCAGATGTAGATGCCACTGGTTCTTCACGTTCTGCAGATGTAGATGACACTTTTTCTTCATATTCTGCAAATGTAGATGCCAATGGTTCTTCATGTTCTGCAGATGTAGATGCCAATGGTTCTTCACGTTCTGCAGATGTAGATTCCACTTGTTCTTGACGTTCTGCAGATGTAGATGCCGCTGGTTCTTGACGTTCTGCAGATGTAGATGCCACTGGCTCTTTACGTTCTGTAGATGTAGATGCCACTGGTTCTTCACGTTCTGCAGATGTAGATGTCACTGGTTCTTCACGTTCTGCAGGTGTAGGTACCACCACTGCCATCGATTGCGCGGGGCGGTTGAACTTACTGCCGTATGGGGGTGGGGACAGGTTTTGTTCCTACCTCTGAAAGTTCATAAGTCGAATGTCCATAAGTAGAGGTAGCCCCCTGCACGCGCTACAAAGACAAAGATCCCCCGTGTAGCCTTAACAAACTGTAGGGGCAAGTGCTGTTAGCGAGCACCTATGAAGGCCGGAACGGCACACGACGGGGTAGGTGGCCAGCACCAGACCCCGACCGCCTTTGTCTCCCCCAGTGGCGATGTTTACCACACAACACAGCACCAGGTAACTCATTTGAGGCCTAGGGGAGGCCCAGAAGCGGTTAAAAATAATCGTCACCTGGTGTTGGCCGTGAGCGGGAATCGAACCCGGGTCGCCAGGTTCGTAGCGCTGCGTAGCGCTAATCGCTCCACATTCACAGTAATCTTACCCCTCAGGATAGCCAGGTTGAGTTGGATGGGTGGCGGCGTGCCGGAGGCACAGCAGCGAACGCAATGCCCCGAGGACACCACCGATGCTTCCTCGGGCCCCCCACGCTCGCCTGGGCCGTCTCCCCCGACGCCGAGGCTCAGGGCGGGCAGCAGCAGAAGGAGAAGCAGCGGCTGCGAGGAGGGGGTAGGCCTTTGGTGGGTGGCCATTTTGTTGGGCCTAGGGTCGGGAGGTGTGGTTAGAAATGTCATTAGTGACTGTTAACTGTAGCACCGCTCTTCCTTTAAACATTAACAACACGCTAATCTTTCACGTTAACATAGCCGGTCTGCGTTCTAACAGTGACATGCTAATTGATCACATTAACATCACGCTAATTTATCACATTAACATCACTAGCCCCTATTCATATTCTTAGTTTTTTCGGTAAAGTCACGTTGAAGAGAAACAACAAAATAACAAAATATATATAAAACAATAAAAAATTCTCACGACGTTTCGACCATAACTCAAACGGTCATCATCACTAGCCCCGCCAACTTCTTTATGACCCTTGGGTTACACCCATTTCAAACCCTTTAAAACAGTCACAAGAGCTTCAAATTAAGGTTGTAGCCTCTGGTGAAGAACCAACACTACCCATAGACCCAACACTGCCCATAGACTCAACACTACCCATAGACTCAACACTACCCATAGACTCAACACTGCCCATAGACTCAACACTGCCCATAGACCCAACACTACCCATAGACCCAACACTGCCCATAGACTCAACACTACCCATAGACTCAACACTGCCCATAGACTCAACACTGCCCATAGACTCAACACTGCACCATCAACCCAACACTGCCCATAGACCCAACACTGCCTATAGACTCAACACTGCACCATAGACCCAACACTGCACCATAGACTCAACACTGCCCATAGACTCAGCACTGCCCATAGACTCAACACTGCCCATAGACTTAACACTGCCCATAGACTCAACACTACCCATAGACTCAACACTGCCCATAGACTCAACACTGCCCATAGACTCAACACTGCCCATAGACTCAACACTGCCCATAGACTCAACACTGCACCATCAACCCAACACTGCCCATAGACCCAACACTGCCCATAGACTCAACACTGCACCATAGACTCAACACTGCCCATAGACCCAACACTGCCCATAGACTCAACACTGCCCATAGACTCAACACTGCCCATAGACCCAACACTGCCCATAGACCCAACACTGCCCATAGACTCAACACTGCCCATAGACCCAACACTGCCCATAGACTCAACACTGCCCAACACTGCCCATAGACCCAACACTGCCCATAGACTCAACACTGCCCATATACTCAACACTGCACAGAGACTCAACACTGCCAATAGACTAAACACTGCACCATAGACTCAACACTGCCCATAGACTCAACACTGCCCATAGACCCAACACTGCCCATAGACTCAACACTGCCCATAGACTCAACACTGCCCATAGACTCAACACTGCACCATAGACTCAACACTGCCCATATACTCAACACTCCCATAGACTCAACACTGCCCATAGACTCAGCACTGCCCATAGACTCAACACTGCCCATAGACTCAACACTGCCCATAGACTCAACACTGCACCATCAACCCAACACTGCACCATAGACTCAACACTGCCCATAGACCCAACACTGCCCATAGACTCGACACTGCCCATAGACTCAACACTGCCCATAGACCCAACACTGCCCATAGACCCAACACTGCCCATAGACTCAACACTGCCCATAGACCCAACACTGCCCATAGACTCAACACTGCCCATAGACTCAACACTGCCCATAGACCCAACACTGCCCATAGACTCAACACTGTACCATAGACTCAACACCACCCATAGACTCAACACTGCCCATAGACCCAACACTGCCCATAGACTCAACACTGCCCATAGACTCAACACTGCACCATAGACTCAACACTGCCCATAGACTCAACACTGCACCATAGACTCAACACTGCCCATAGACTCAGCACTGCCCAAAAACTCAACACTGCCCATAGACTCAACACTGCCCATAGACTCAACACTGCCGATAGACTCAACACTGCACATAGACCCAACACAGCCCATAGACCCAACACTGCCCATAGACTCAACACTGCCCATAGACCAAACACTGCCCATAGACTCAACACTGCCCATAGACCCAACACTGCCCATAGACTCAACACTGCCCATATACTCAACACTGCCCAGAGACTCAACACTGCCCATAGACCCAACACTGCCCATACACTCCACACTGCCCATAGACTCAACACTGCCCATAGACTCAACACTGCACCATAGACTCAACACTGCCCATAGACTCAACACTCCCATAGACTCAACACTGCCCATAGACTCAGCACTGCCCATAGACTCAACACTGCCCATAGACTCAACACTGCCCATAGACTCAACACTGCACCATCAACCCAACACTGCACCATAGACTCAACACTGCCCAAAGACCCAACACTGCCCATAGACTCAACACTGCCCATAGACCCAACACTGCCCATAGACTCAACACTGCTCATAGACCCAACACTGCCCATAGACTCAACACTGCCCATAGACTCAACACTGCCCATAGACCCAACACTGCCCATAGACTCAACACTCACCATAGACTCAAAACCACCCATAGACTCAACACTGCACCATAGACTCAACACTGCCCATAGACTCAACACTAACCATAGACTCAGCACTGCACCATAGACTCAGCACTGCACCATAGACTCAACACTGCCCATAGACCCAACACTGCCCGTAGACTCAACACTGCCCATAGACCCAACTCTGCCCATAGACTCAACACTGCCCATAGACCCAACACTGCCCATAGACTCAACACTGTACCATAGACTCAACGCCACCCATAGACTCAACACTGCACCATAGACTCAACACTGCCCATAGACCCAACACTGCCCATAGACCCAAAACTGCCCATAGACTCAACACTGCCCATAGACTCAATACTGCCCATAGACTCTGCACTGCACCATAGACTCAAAACCACCCATAGACTCAACACTGCACCAAGGACTCAACACTGCCCATAGACTCAACACTAACCATAGACTCAGCACTGCACCATAGACTCAGCACTGCCCATAGACTCAGCACTGCACCATAGACTCAACACTGCACCATAGACTCAGCACTGCACCATAGACTCAACACTGCCCATAGACCCAACACTGCCCATTGACTCAACACTGCCCATAGACCCAACACTGCCCATAGACTCAACACTGCCCATAGACCCAACACTGCCCATAGACTCAACACTCACCATAGACTCAAAACCACCCATAGACTCAACACTGCACCATAGACTCAACACTGCCCATAGACTCAACACTAACCATAGACTCAGCACTGCACCATAGACTCAGCACTGCACCATAGACTCAACACTGCCCATAGACCCAACACTGCCCGTAGACTCAACACTGCCCATAGACCCAACTCTGCCCATAGACTCAACACTGCCCATAGACCCAACACTGCCCATAGACTCAACACTGTACCATAGACTCAACGCCACCCATAGACTCAACACTGCACCATAGACTCAACACTGCCCATAGACCCAACACTGCCCATAGACCCAAAACTGCCCATAGACTCAACACTGCCCATAGACTCAATACTGCCCATAGACTCTGCACTGCACCATAGACTCAAAACCACCCATAGACTCAACACTGCACCAAGGACTCAACACTGCCCATAGACTCAACACTAACCATAGACTCAGCACTGCACCATAGACTCAGCACTGCCCATAGACTCAGCACTGCACCATAGACTCAACACTGCACCATAGACTCAGCACTGCACCATAGACTCAACACTGCCCATAGACCCAACACTGCCCATAGACTCAACACTGCCCATAGACCCAACTCTGCCCATAGACTCAACACTGCCCATAGACCCAACACTGCCCATAGACTCAACACTGTACCATAGACTCAACGCCACCCATAGACTCAACACTGCACCATAGACTCAACACTGCCCATAGACCCAACACTGCCCATAGACCCAACACTGCCCATAGACTCAACACTGCCCATAGACTCAACACTGCCCATAGACTCAACACTACCCATAGACCCAACACTGCACCATAGACTCAACACTGCCCATATACTCAACACTACGCAGAGACTCAACACTGCCAATAGACTAAACACTGCACCATAGACTCAACACTGCCCATAGACTCAACACTGCCCATAGACCCAACACTGCCCATAGACTCAACACTGCCCATAGACTCAACACTGCACCATAGACTCAACACTGCCCATAGACTCAACACTGCACCGTAGACTCAACACTGCCCATAGATTCAGCACTGCCCATAGACTCAACACTGCCCATAGACTCAACACTGCCCATAGACTCAACACTACCCATAGACTCAACACTGCCCATAGACTCAACACTGCCCATAGACTCAACACTGCCAATAGACTCAACACTGCCCATAGACTCAACACTGCACCATCAACCCAACACTGCCCATAGACCCAACACTACCCATAGACTCAACACTGCACCATAGACTCAACACTGCCCATAGACCCAACACTGCCCATAGACTCAACACTGCCCATAGACTCAACACTGCCCATAGACCCAACACTGCCCATAGACCCAACACTGCCCATAGACAACACTGCCCATAGACCCAACACTGCCCATAGACTCAACACTGTCCATAGACTCAACACTGCCCATAGACCCAACACTGCGCATAGACTCAACACTGCCCAGAGACTCAACACTGCCAATAGACTAAACACTGCACCATAGACTCGACACTGCCCATAGACTCAACACTGCCCATAGACCCAACACTGCCCATAGACTCAACACTGCCCATAGACTCAACACTGCCCATAGACTCAACACTGCACCATAGACTCAACACTGCCCATAGACTCAACACTGCCCATAGACTCAACACTGCACCGTAGACTCAACACTGCCCATAGACTCAACACTGCACCGTAGACTCAACACTGCCCATAGACTCAACACAGCACCATAGACTCAACACTGCCCATAGATTCAGCACTGCCCATAGACTCAACACTGCCCATAGACTCAACACTGCCCATAGACTCAACACTACCCATAG